AGAATGAAAAAAATAAAACAAGAAAAAAAAAAAAAGACTCATAGGATTAGTGCCCCAACACCTAAAACACAAAACCTTTTATCGGCGAATTTTCGATCCTTCTCTTTGCCCTTTTTTTTTTTTTTTTTTTGCTTGTTTTTTGTGTTCAGCTTCTTGTTTCTCATTTTGATCTCTTCGGCTTCACTCGTTGGCTTTTGGTGAAGGGCTCTCTGTACCTGACTCTGACACTCATCACAATGACTGATCACTATGCCAACCACGCATATCAATCAGCCAAGGTACCACAACAATATTCTGGCGCCGATTTGCCCTACGAGGACGGCTCCAATGAATATGCGACCCCACACTCCAGATGGGATCCACGAGGGTGGTCTTTGAAGAAAAAGCTCTTCCTCGCAGCGGGCATTATCGTCGTCATTGTAGCGGTCGTGGTCGGATCAGTACTGGGCGTACGAGCAAACCGGTACCCCAATTACTCCAAGCTGGACTACACCCTGCAAGACACCTATTCAGGAACCGATTTCTTCGACAATTTCGAATACTTCACCGATGCCGATCCAGCCAACGGCTTCGTCCAGTACGGCCCCCACATAGACATCCTGACACTTACTAACCGGTGATCCAGATATATCAGCCGAGCCAATGCGGAATGGCTCAATCTCACCCACGCCAGCAGCGAGTCGGCCGTACTCAAAGTTGATACCACATTAAGTGGAACCCAGGCCGCCAGTGGCCGCCAATCCGTCAGGATAACATCAAACAAAACATACGCCGATGGTCTGTTTGTCTTTGACGTTCTCCACACCCCGTACGGATGTGGAACCTGGCCCGCATTGTGGCTCACTGACCCCAGCAATTGGCCCGAGCATGGTGAAATCGATATCGTCGAAGCTGCCAATAGTGGAACCTTTGGAAACCAGGCTACCCTGCATACATCTGATGGATGCTCTATGGGCGTCAAGCGGAAGGAAACAGGGTCCGTCCAGAACAAAAACTGTTATTACAAGGCAAATGAATACTCGGGCTGTGGCGTGTCGGGTGCTGATAGTACATTTGGTCCTGAATTCAACAACAACGGAGGTGGAGTAAGTCGCGCAATCCCCAGATCCGGCACGATATGCACGAGCGCAAATAACTGATACACTGTCTCTCTAGGTATATGCAATGGAGCTTCGCAATGCCGGAATCCGAGTATGGCAGTGGGCGCGCTCGAAAATTCCATCCGACATTACCTCTGGAAGCCCTGATCCGTCTACCTGGGGTACGGCCTTTGCAGACTTCCCAAACACGGATTGCAATATTGGGTCACACTTCAAGAATCAGAGCATTATCGCCAACATCGATCTGTGTGGTGACTGGGCTGGCGCGGACAAGTTCTATACGACTCAGAGCAGTTGCCCCGGTACTTGCGAGGCCTTTGTGCGGGATAATGCGACCAGTTTCAGCACGGCTTACTGGGAGTTCAAAAGTTTCAAGGTTTACCAAGCCAGTTGATTCGCTTGTTGAATCCATGCTTGGATGATTCTTGATGAAGCAGACCGATTTGATTCTGAGATGCCTTCATCCAGTGGACCTCATATGCCCAAAACCTTTACGTGAAATGTAGCTAAATGATCATAATGAATGTTTTGGATTGATGTACTTTCGCATTTCTATCAACCCAAGTTGGCTTCACATCTGAGATGAAATCGTTTATTGAACCTTGCCCCGAGAATCCACCGGCCATATTTCCTCAATGATTCCCCCACGGTGGGCATAATAAACATCGTGCAAGTTGACCGTCGGGTCAATGTGACTTGGGACCATTTCCACACGATCGCCGACCGACAGCGCAGGGGTTCCCTCTTCCCAACTGAGCGAGCCATGCTCGTCCCCAAGAACACCATATGAGTATCTCGGGTCCTTGCACTCCGCCAACCCACTGTCCGTAGTCAACGACTTCAGTCCACTGTCAATGGTGACCGAATGAGGACCCTGCTGACTCAAGACCGTCGACAGAATCGTCAAGCTATTGGAATAGAATGTGCCCACAGCATTCCGATAATCCGTGTCCATGAAGATGAAAGATCCCGGCTGAAGCTCGGTCACACCAGGGACCGAAGCACAGAACTCCGCCGTCCCGGTTCCTCCAGTAGTCACCACCTCGATATTGAAGCCTGCCTTCCGCAGCACATCCGCTGTATTCGTAAGTGTCTTCATAGACTCAAGACATTGGCCCTTCCGATCCTCGTAATCATGTAAATGCTGTAAATGTCCCTCATAGCCATGGAGACCAATGAGTTTCAAATGCTTCAGACCACCAACATGTCGCGCCAGGCCCAGCACCGGTTCCCCGGGCAGAACACCAGTCCGGTGAAGTCCGACATCAAGATCAATAAGGACAGAGATCGGCTCATCAATTCCAGAACTCGCCAAAGCATCATTGATAGCCGTCGCTCCAACATTGCTATCCACAACGATTCGAACATTCCGATACTTGCGATACAAGTCCACCAGCCTCTTGACCTTGGTAGGACCAACAACCTCGCATGTAATAAACAGATCCTCAAATCCGGCATCTGCAAGGGCTTCTGCTTCGCTCACTTTGGCCACGCAGCCGCCCTTTGCGCCTGCCTTGACGAGTTTGTGTGCGAGGATTGCACTTTTTGTTGTTTTGAGATGTGGGCGGATGTCAAGGCCAGTTGGGAGGAGTTTGCCCATTAGTTTTTCGATGTTGGCTTCGACGAGATCCAGATCGGCAATCATGGACGGTGTGTCCAGACTGTCGATTGAGTCGCCAACTTTGGGGGAATACATTTTGGTCTGGTTGTTAGTGAGGAGAAGCGGGGAAATGAGCAACTTATAAGTTGGCGGAAAGACTAGACGCAAGGGGTGACATCTTGGGATCTCCGCCCTTTGGAATTTTGCCGTTTTCAGATCCTCACGATCTCTATTACAGAGGTATCTCTTGGTAGAAGCTTATAAAGTCTCAACGGATCTCGAACACTGAATTGAGATAGTAATATTACATGGGCTGGCCTTCTGACATAATGATACAAATTTTGGGCTGGGATTATTGTTCTTTCTCAAACGCGGTAGTTCAAAGCTGACCTTTTGTCAGAGCTCAAGTACTTCTGACTGCAGGTCCGCAAACTCCTTTGGGTCCTCCTTTGGGTCCTCCTTTGGGTCCTCCTTTGGGTCCTCCTTTGGGTCCTCCTCTGGGTCGACGGCCTTAGCCTTCTCCCATAGGCCAGTCTGCGCAACTACGGCGTTATGAGCGCCCCAAAAGACTGTCGCACAGACAGAGAGATATGTGGTCCAATGAGGACCGGGGGACTGTGCAGAGGGAGGAGGAGGGACTGATATCATTGTTATTGTCAATGTACCATATAGTTTTTTGGCGAGAGGTTCATAATTTACCTGGTACCCCATCTTTATCGAGACAGGGAGGACAGGGGGGACATGGAGGACAACTCATTTTTGAGCATAGGATCTCTGTACACTGAGCGTTAGTACAGTATACCACAAGATCCTGTCTCTAAAATGGGAATACGGGTCTCACTTACGGCGGCAGCTATGAGGCATGCCACGCCTATGATGAGAAGTCCAAAGCGACCGAGGAAACGGAAAAGGAGCACAAAGTCCCCTCGTGCCGATCGACCGAACTCTGTGTCAGACCCTACGGCCAAGGCGAAAAGAAACGTGGCACTCGCCACATCGAGGACGACAATGAACCAAAACAATTCGGAGAGCATTATGGTGATTGAATTTCGAAATGTTTGTATGGAGTCAATGAGATACTGGATTCCTACATATGAAAGTCCTCTAGAGGGGGCAGAAACAAAAATAGGCAAGAGCAAAGGAGCCAAGTTTAGAATTGGGAAGGACTTCAGGAGGAAGCAACAAGTGCCAATTGCTGCTATCAGATACGTCAGAGAATATTCTCTTGAATACCCTCTCGAATACCTTCTCGAATACTCTCTTGCCGTGCCCTCGACATCACAGTAGAATGGCCACTTCGAACGATCGGCCGGGATCCGTTCGGCAACATCCGAGAAATACTAGCCCTGATCCGTTCTGCTCTTCAAATGATGTCCTGGGCTAATTTAATTGGCTGGCTAATTTGTTGAATTGGGGGCCAAATCTATTCTCAGCGCAATTTATCCTGAGTCAAGAAGATAACTCCTAGTACTCTGTAGTCTTCTGCTTTAATTTCCAGTGTCTAGCACAATGGCAGTAAATTCAGAAACTGCAACTCTACAAGTCTTACCAAAAGAGCGCCTCCCCTTCTCCCATCGTCTCAATTGTTTCATCCAACTCTGGCTACTCAAATCTCTCGCCGCCCTCTACTTCTTCTACCTCCGCCTGGTCAATCCCCCTAAGTCAAGCACCAAGCCAACTCTGACCAAGCGCTATGCCATCCGTCCAAATCTAGAAGTCCGCATTTTCTACCCGCGCTCCTACACAGCCAACAGCCAACTCCCACTCTACCTAAACATCCACGGCGGAGGCTTCGCACTATGCAACGCCACAGTTGACGACACCTTCTGCAGTGCCTGGGCACATCGCACAGGAATGCTAGTCGTCAGCCTCAACTACCGCAAAGCCCCACTCCATCCATTCCCAACAGCTACCTTCGACATCGCCGAAGTAGCCAAAAGCGTGCTAGCAGATGATTCTCTCCCAATTGACCACTCCCGGGTTACAATCGGTGGGTTCAGCGCAGGCGGCACCCTTGCACTATCCGCCTCGCAACTCCCTGGTCTAAAAGGCCTCATCAAAGCGGCGGTCGTATACTTCCCAATTGTGGATTTCGGCCACCCGCCCAACGAAAAGCTGGATTCGAGACCGTATAAGGCTGGTCTGGTGAAGGATTCGTTGGAAAAGACTTCTTGGTGGTTGGATTGGGGGTATGTTAGTGTGGGGCAGGATCGGAGGGATCCATTGCTTAGTCCGGTGTATGCGGGGAGGGGTGAGCTGCTGAGGCTTGAGGCTCAGGAGATGATTCATGGGTTGGCTGGGTTGGGTAGAGTTGGGGTTGAGCAGGAGGAGGACTTTGAGGTTGGAAAGTATAAGTGGACGCTGGCTAGAGGGTGTCCACATGCTTTTACTCATGCGTCGCCAAGGAAGAAGGGTGATGGTAGAATTAGGGAGGAAACTGCGCAAAGTATCTATGCGCAGGCTCATGAGTGGTTGAAAAAGTCTCAGATTCTTTCGTAGGTTCTTTTGGGAGATGGTGGTGGATTATGGATTTGCTTGGGTCTTGGGGCTTCTGTAGCCAGACTTGAGTCCTTTATTTGATCGCACAATTCTACGGATATTTGGCTAGAACGAGATGGTACTGGAGAATTGATGAAGAGACCGAGCTTTCAATTGAATATGGCCGAAGCCCATGAATGCCCAACAGCTTAGTCCCAAAGCGAATTGCTTCGCTCAATTTGGCACTGCTTCCTCGACCATTTGACCAGGTTCGTGCTGGAATACTGGGACAAAGAACAAAAAGGCGGTGAGTAACCTCAGCAGAGCTGTTTATTTCGATGTAGAGAGGATATCGAAACCCTCTCAACTCGAGGAATCATCGTTTTGATTTAAATGCAAAATGGAGCGCTCGTGCTGCGTAAGCTCCACACACAAAGATAACCCTTGCATTGCTGTTATCAAGTAACTTCCGATAATTTTGGACTGTTTCATTCGGAAAAGACTGATCTGGAGCAGGGAAATGTGTATGCTCTTTAAAGGTGAGAATGTCTTGAAATTGAAACCCAATCAAGAACATTTGTTGCGTCAAACTGACAACCTTGTAGCGCTGATGGAAGATCAATAGTTGAAGAAATTTGATTCCCAGCACTATGCGGTGCGCCCGCAAGCTCTCTTCAAACCCGCAACTTGTTCTTGGAGTTTTTTGAACTCTGTGGTGTTGACGGTTGTTGATGGAAGCTCTAGAGATACTGGAATCGACTGTCGTTGTTCAATGATATGCTGATTCCGGCGGCGAGCGTAATCCGCTGCACGCATAGCGAACATCTCTCTGTGTGTTTCCTTAAAGCAATCCATATCGAATGGGGTCTCGAATAGAAGCCCTTTTAGTGATCGGACTCGAGATACTGCCACGTAGGAGAGGCCTGGAGTAAAGTCTGGATGACTGATATCCCAGACTGCCTGGGAAACAGACATTCCTTACGATTTATGCACAGTCACCGCGTACGCCAGTGTCAAAGGAAACCGTTTTCGGTGGCAAACCACATTCTGATGCATGAATTCCCGCGTGCAAGTGAATATCGGGACCACCTGAGGGCCAGGATAGTCGCTGAATTCGACCAAAATCACTGCTGGAGCCTGTTTGTTTTCTGAAAATTCAGCTGCCCAAGTGCGGCGCTGTGCGTCCCCCAAGCTTTGGATTGTGAGGCCCACAATCTCGTTTCCCTTTCTCCATCAAGAGGTCTCTTTGTCTCTCTCTTTGAACTGCTTTCACAGAGAGTCGGGAGGCTTTCCGAAATCGCTCGAGGCGTGTTGCGCAGTATGCCCTGCGCCCTTGCCGAAGACGTATTGACAAAGCAAGAGGTAAAAGGCGACCACAGCCGAGGGAATGTGTAGCTCGCGTGATCAGCTGAGGGGGCGAATGGATGGCATTCTGGATAATGTGAGCTCTGTCAGACATGGAGACAGTCAAGGAAATGACATATTCTCATAAAGGAACAAGCAACAATAGTCATAGGAGAGGACTGGCCTCACATATGACTTAATGTGGCAGGGGATAGGAAAAAGGAAGTTATACTTACGGCCACCACCGCGGTTCCGCGCCTGGCGGCGACGTTGGCTGCGGCCACCCCGGCCGCCACGACCGCCCCGGCGAGCCTCAACCGCGGCCGCGATCTGTTGCTGTTGCATAGTTAGTTCCATACTGTAGTACAGAGTCCTGTACAAGGAGTTTTACTTACCTCGACACGCATGTTGGCGACATAGTCGATCTGCTCCCAGTAGGCGCGGTTCTATATCAGTATTCCGTTAGCTTTATCCCCCTTGAGATTTCACGCGAATGATGCAATGGAAGTATTCAGTGATATCATCGTATAGTTCGTTCTCGACTTTTGTCGAGTCTTTTTTGCCCTTTTTCGAAGGCTTTTTGGTTTCCTCCTTCATAGAGTCGGAGAAACAATGCACTGCCATAGCAGATCTCAACAGAGTTTGTTCAGTGTATACCACAAGATGTGTATCATCATGCGGATCCGGATCATGTCGAATCACGACAGGGCATAGACCGGGGAATGTAAGGGTAAGAGATCGAAGGTGAAATGAAATCTGATAATCTTACCCTGTCGACCCAGTCCGCAGGGTGCGGACGTTATGACGATTGGCACGCTTTGCCCTTCTTTGAGGCGGGAGTTTCCTAGGCCTTTTCTTTGGTTGACTCTCGGACCTCCACACCCCTTCGAAAAGGAGTGTCGAAGGAGATCCTATGTGTTAAAAGTGAGCGCGGTGTACTGAAGGATCCTGCCACCAAATAAGGGATTCAGATCTCACTTACGGCAGTGGTCACAAGGCTAGCCAAGCTCAGAACCGGTAGGATAAACCAGAAAGAAAAAAAGATCACCGCTCGTACGCGTTTGACCTCACGGGAGTTGGAGAATACGACCTTTTGGCCGACGAACGTGATGCCTACAACGGTGAGGCAAGCAATGGAAATGAGAAATCGATGGTGGTTGTTTCAAGATTTGATTTCGGTTGTACGAAGTCAGAATGAGAAAATAGGTAGAAATAAATGATAAAAGAATTGAGTGCAAGTTTGGCAAACAATCTGAGATGCTGAGTTCCTACATGTCAAAGCCTCCTAAAGAGGACAGGAGCGAAAATAGGCAAGAACAAAGGAGTAAGTGTCAGAACCGGAAAATGGACGTAACAAATATCGATTGCTGAACCGGAGAGGAGCTTCTATATAAGTACCAAGAGCCAGAGTTCTGACCAAAGGTCTGAGATTGGGCGTCTCAACGACAAGTCTCAGACGGCTGGCAGTTCAAGAATATTAGCATCGGAAAGAAAGGAGTAATAATATTCAGTTTCCGATATTGTGCAAGACAGATGTGGAGAAAGTAGGCTGACTACCTGAGTAGGGAGCTCCCTGGGTGTGAGGTATGTGTCGCATTCGCAGGCATCAATGATCTATTTAAAAGCCGAGCTTCCAGAGAATACATTATGGGTACGGAGGGGAGCCTATTGAATTGATGGCCCCCGAAATTACGTTATCTTTTGGGCGAAAGATTACTCTGGACGGAAAAGCTCTCTGTGAGGGTAGGCAAAGCTTCATCAGAAAGAAGGTCTAATTCGATGAAGGTATCTATGATGCAGAGGGAAGAAGAACTATGGAGAGGGCTGCTTTAATTGCCCAAAGCAAACAAAAGCCAAAAGCATACAAGCATGCAAACACATGAAAACCAGCAAGCGCATATAGACAAACATAATGATGGCGAATACTCAAACTCTCCTCGAAAATATCTTGTATCCTTTGCTCTGAGGTGGAAAAGGTTTCGTGACCTTAGGTCTTTCAACGGATATGACGACGCGTTTTCGAAAAAGACCCGAGGACTGTATGTCCGCTCATTCCAGTTGCGTGCACTTAGGGCTCCGAGAGGACTCCAAGTCTTGCAATGGACCTTCTGTCGAGGTCCTCGAGGATCATCTAGAGCCCTCCAACAAGAGTCAAGATTGATCCATGTCGTGACAATTAGGGCTATATCAGAACCCTGTTTGTGCAACTCAATTTTAGCAACTGTATGACACTTTCTGCAAGTGAAAGTAGCATCAGGGACTTTTTGTCCATGGAAATACCCATCCACAACGGCATCAAACAATATGTCGCGTTTGAAGTTTGAAAGATGTATGCAAATAAACATCATCTGTGGGGGGTGCTTCTGAAACTGGGGATCATGTCGAGGAAATAGTAGTTCCCAGTTGTTTCGATGAACGAGATTGATTTGTTGCATTCTCAGGCAAACCCCCTCCGGATAATGCAATGCGTTGATTGAAAGGAGACAAGTGATTTCAGGACTCGAGGGGTCAGTCCGAACTCGGGTGTATGACGGATCGAGGTAAATTCCGGACGTTCGCGCTTCTCCAGTTAGAGCCTTTATTCTCGCAAGCTGAAGGCACAGAAATAATATTCTGTAATATACGTGGCACCATATTGGCTCTTTTCGCCTCAATACCAGAACATAGTCTTCTCCCCATTCATAAGAAGATAAACTGGGATAGTCTTCTCCCTCAAACAATTTGTCGTAGAGACCGGGACATTCCGAGCCATCAGGCTCACAAAGAACATAGGTGAGATGGCAAATGAACGATTTTGGTTTGTCTCGTCCCAGTCGGCGTAAAATGGGCACCTTGAATCTTAATACCTTGTATCCTCCAAGCGCCCAAAGTGGGCAAAAAAGTGGGTGCTTGGCTCTATCATTGAAAATGCAAAATAGTTGTCGACTGCAAAGCGAGATGCAAATCCAATCATCCCAATCAAGAAAATCAGTGATTGACAACAAGATCTCAACAGGGAGAGTGGCGAGCCCTTTTAAATTAGGGCTCTCAAGCTCGTTGATCGAATGGGGCGCAGTGATTTGGGGGCTCGAGGAGTCTGTTCGAAGTCGGGTGTAAGTTTGCTCCTTTCCCCAATAGCTAGACATGACCAGAGTGGTGAGAGTGAAGAGCGACGCCATGTCAAGGATGTAGGCCTTTAGAGCCAAGTAAACGAGCAAAAAGCCTCTGAGAAGTGAAAGTGATTATAATTTGAAGGGGAGTTTTCTGAGACCTCGATCTTCTCTAACTAAGGGCGGCTTTCAGTTATGGTGTCTCTTCCGATCCCAAATTGGGACTTTCAAACGTTACTTTTATGTCACCATTTGACCAAAGATTCACATATTGATTACTTCAATCAAGTGATGCATTTCGTTACCTTGGTCTGACCTACTTAAGTAAAAGTCGGCTGCCTCGGTCTTGCCTAGTTTCGCTTCAACGAACCTTCCCTTGGACGCTCGCTTCCAACCTCTTGACCTTTACACTTCTCACACTTTTCACAACCCATCATCTTCATCCAACACACAAGGGGCAGGTCAAAATGATCTAACCCCCACATAATCTTCCTACATCTGGATCGGAATCAGAGTCTGGAAATGGAGTGAATCGAGGGGCGACTCCTTGGGTGTGTTTGCGAATCCCACCTACAACCCTAATCAAAGACACCTCTCCACACGAGCTTCCCCTTCTCCATTCGCCCTCTAATGCGAGCGAGGCTGACTTAATTGTTTATAGAGTTCTCTGGCCAAAACTCAAAAAAGCAAAAGCTTTTCCCGCTTTTACAGGCGGTATAGCAGAAGATGTGGAGATCGCAATGGCGAAGAAAAACTTCCCCGAGCTCCACAAATATCTCCATGAGGTGGAAAAACCCACTATATCCAAGCCCAACAAGAAAATGGGTGCTCCTGTTTCTCAGAATCATAAATGGGTAAGTGAGATCATTATTCCTATCTTGAGCGCATGAGTCTTCAATACACAACGCTCACATTTAGTGCATTTAGATCCTATACTCGAAAACGAGCTGTCCTCTCTGCCCTCTCTGCCCTCCCTGTCTAGACAAAGACGGGGTCCCAGGTAAATTATGAATCCCTAGCCAGAACATCACATAATACATTTATAATAACAATGAGATCAGTCGTCCCTCCCGCGGAAAAGCCCCCTGCAAGTACACACTGGACAGTCCTTGTACCAGTAATTGCGGGGCTTGTTTGGGGCCTAAACAACGCCGTAGTGGGCCATATTGGCCTCTGGCAAAAGTGGAAGTCGGGTGAAGCCACTGCCAGGGAGCTCGCCCAACTGCGAGCAGATCTCCAGAGACTCCGGGAGGATCACAACAGAAGTCTGCGCCTTTGAGAAAGAACAATAATCCCGGCCAATCCCAAGCTTGTATCGTTATGTCAGAAGGCCAACCCAACAGTGCCTCCTCTTCAAACACCAGAGCCCTAAGGACGAGGGGTACCGTACGCCTTACAACAACAATATCTTGGACCTCTCGAGGTTGGGAACAGGAAGTTGTGCGAGCGTGCATTGTCTGTTACGTAAAATGGTGTTTACGCCTACCCTGCTGAAGACCGACAGCCTGCGTCTAACCCAATTACGCCAAACGAGCCTGCTAGCCCAGCTGTACCGAACGAGCCTTCCATGCAAGCTCAGTGACAATTCGACGACTCGCTGGACACCTCCTAGTTCGATGCATCAAACCTGATATTTTTGCGACGCTTACTGGAGATCAATACGCTCCAAAAGGAGTGCGCGCAACGATTCTTCGCTATGAGCAGGAGATCTTTTACAAGATCATGCCACCTGTTGGCCAATGGAAGCTGTTGGCCAATAGAACGCGATTCTCGAATTCTGGGATACAATCACAGAGTACCCCCAGTTCAAGGGCGCGACGAAAGACCTGTTCTGTGAAGCAGCACCTCCGCGCCACGCTGGCGATCTCTCGTCAATTACTACTGCCGAATCTCTGCATTTGTTAGACATGGTGTCTTCATGCTCTGCTGGGCGCGACGGACGCGACCCCGTTGTATTGACCCGTGACGAGATACAAGCCATGGTTAACCCAGCTGTTGCGGCTTCGACGCAGAATTTTCGGCCGAATGTTCAGGCGATGGTCCAACAGACCTTCGACGCCAGGCAAGAGGAGCTTCGCGGACCAGCCAGCCGTGACGGCATCGACGCAGCCCAGTCAAATTCCTGGAAGTCGGATGATGTTGGTTACTACACTCCGGATGCGCCAGCTAGTGAGCACGTTCGAACGGCTCGTGGCACTACCTACTACCTTAACGTCCGAGAAGATGGTATACTGGTGCGAAACTTTGTCGGGCTGCTCGAAGCAGATTTCAGAAAAGATTTCAGGGGTAGATCAGCTTTAGGGGAATGGCAGACGGGCAAATATATTGAAGCTTGAAATATAACAAAAATCCCCTTGGAACTACATTCGAAAAAAAACGTTCAGGAAGTAAAGAAGAACAAACTTTAGAATGACTGAAGCACAAAACAGAGTCATTCCAAAACCTCTGAGTAAGCCCATTTACACATGTCCATTAGACTTCCTCAGCCCCATGAAAACACTATCATACGCTCTCATCTCATAAGGAGTCGTCTTCAACATCACCTCCTTATGCTTATTTGTCCAACCTTGTACGCTCCTCAAATGCTTCAAAGCATGTTCACCGGCCATCGGATCAAGAATCAGACTAAACTCTCTATTGGCAGGACTGATGTAGAGGGGATCATGTAGAGCGTCACCCTCCAGTCTGTACTCTTCCTCTAGTGCGAGATGTTCCTGCTCGGGGTGTGTTTGCTTCGGGTCGTATGGTGACCTGTGTTGACCAACTTCTTCGTCTGTGCCTGACTGGCAGGTCTCTGAGTGTTGTGGGTTGAGGATGGATCTTTCGAGCAGGATTTCATTTGTAGGTTTCTCAGATTGAAGGTGGCATGTTGTGCGTAGAGGAAGGGGATGTGTGATGACGGGTTGGATGATGGTTTGGACTGCTCGTTTGCAAGTGTTGAGACTTCTCATCGTGCTTTGTTGGTAATTGACTTGGGCTCTGTGGTGTTTGGTTTTGGGAGTGTTGAAAATGTAGAAAACAACTTTAGAACAGGTGATGCTGTTCGGATGTTATGGTTTACCCCGGATTATCAGAATGACATCATCACAAGAGGCGTTGGCATCAACGGTGAACTAACATCCAATTATACTTCATCTTTTGGCAGTTAAAGACCCAGAAGGCGAAAAGGTGACTATGGGGTCCAGCACCTTCCACGTTCACACTTGGTTACCTTACCAACCTACCAACGGACGTGGAGTGATTACCGTACGGAGTGCAATATTTCTGTCATATTAAGTAGAACTTATAGATGATCCAGAGTGTAGGTCATGTTCTATACAGCGCAAGCATGATATGTTCACTTCTATTCTAACTCATTTACGCTTTTGAGCTGCTCAACAAGAGCCTGGTAGTCTAAGGAATATGTGCACCACGCTGTAAGGAAAAAAACACCCGAAAAATGACCCGCAAATGCATCACTATATGAACCCGCTCATAAGCTGTACAAGAATCTAGGATTCCGGTCGCCCATTTCCTGAATGTCTTGCTCTGAAAGAGCCGATATTTTCTCATCCTCGACGCCTCGAGCTCTGCGTTTGTTGATCATTCGGTAGGCGAACCACATTCCACCATAGACAATACCTGCAAAGGCGACCAGGCCTAAAGTAACAGCGTTTCCACGGACAAAACGCGGGCCCTCAGAAGTTGGGTAGAGGAAAGGCGACATGACACCACTGATATTGCCGAACGTAAGTTGCAAGCCCGTTGCATAGGCACGTTTTCCATATCGTGGAAGGTTCGTCGGTAGCCAAGCAAGTGGTAGACCAACGGCGACATAAAGGCCCAAAGCGACCATCAAGGCGCCAAAGTAATGCACGCCAGAAGACGCGTCGGAGATCAGGATTCCGTAGCCGACGACGGATATGGCACTGAAGAGACAGATGAAGACTGCGCGCTGCTGGGTGTGATCACTTACCCAGGCTACGGCAAGATAAGCAATGGCTCCTAGTGCGTAGCATGGGATTGTCAATGCCTGGACCTCTGGGGTTGACCAGCTACCCATGCCTTTGATGATGGTCGGGAGGAAAGTACTGTATCCGTAGAGCATGGTGTCGATGCCAAATTGGCCGATTGAGAATGCCCAGATCTTCCAATCCATCACGCCCTCTTTGACATCTGCCCAGTGGAACTTTTGTGCGGAGTCAGTCTGTCCGATGTATCGACCCCTGCGGCGAGCAACAATCATCCGCTCTTCTTTGTTGAGGTAGTATGCTGTGTCTGGGCCGTCTGCTAGTCCGAACCAGGTGGCGACTCCCAACAGCACAGTTGGAATTCCCTCGATGATCATGATCCAGCGCCATCCTCGCAACCCACAGATACCATCCATGAACCCGATGCCGTACGCTAGCAGTCCACCAAAGGCTCCTGCGATGGCGGCACTGCTGAACAGGTAGCCAGTCCGCAAGGCGATCTCCCGTTTGTTGTAAAACATGGTGAGATACGTAATGAAGCCCGGGAAAAGTCCAGCTTCCACGACTCCTAGCAGGATGCGACAAGCGATCAACCCGCCATAGCTCTGAGTGATTCCAGTGAGGGTGGCAATGATACCCCAGAGAACCGAAATCGTCGCGATATACCGCGACGGCCTTAGCTTTTTCAGCACAAGGTTTGAGGGAACCTCAAATAACTGGTCTAGTCAGTCGATGCTCGAAACTGCCGCGGAATAAGTGAATCACATACACAGTATGTCACAAAGAGGATGGATACTGCGACTTGATATTGGTTCCCAACCAGACCGAGATCCTCTTCTAGTCCGTATAGACGGGCATTTCCAATGTTTACTGGATATCAAATCAGTATGCCGAGGTCCAATTTCTTCAGGGTCTGAGTCAGACATCAGCCCACCAGGAGTACCCCACTTACCTCGATCTAAGAAGCTGAAGAGATACAACAACACCACGAAAGGGAGGATGTGCAGGTCGATCTTCCGGACTAAGGAGCGCTCAATCCTCTCTTCGTCCAGGGTTGGCCCTGAGCTGACTTCATCGGGCACATCCGGAATGACGGATTCGGCCTTGTCCATGGTGACAGGGACCAAGTTTCCTCAAGAGTCAAGGTCCTCAAGAGTCAATGGCAGATGCGCAGATGCGCAGATGCATGCCCGAGGGAATTATTGATGTTATGTAAGGTGTAAGACGGTGAGACCCAGGAAACTGCCGGCAAAAGAAAAGAGAAAATCGAGAGATTAGAGTTGCCAAGGAATTAGATTGATAACCGATTTGATGTTTGCGGTTAAGTGACAGTCTATGAAACCACTTTATTAACTACCCTATTTATTCAATTCTGTTTCAATATTATTAGAATATTCAGTTCAATACACTTGGGAGTCTTTAAAGTTAAGTAGGTTTCATGTTCATTATTTAGTACTTTCATACTAAATTTCTAACCACCCTTATGATACGAATTTTAAGTGCTTTCTCGTACCTCTAGACAATCATTCTATAACTGAACTATACTAAACTATACGATATACTATTCAATATACTACTCGTAAATATCCTTATATTCTTATCCTTAAATTCTTAACTAAATTTGAAGGTCAGCAGACCCCCATGGGCGGGCCTGGCCCCCCTGACTAAGCCAGGCAAATCCTGAACATTTTCGATGCTCCAAGTCAACCATCTGTGAGTAGAGTAGAACGAAACACTTGGGACTTTTTTTTCACCTCAATGCACTGCTGACCGCTCTCATCTCACTATGAGAACTTCTCTTCTCCTGCACCCCGGTCCCCTCTCTTGATCAAGACTCCACACTTTCGACTTGCCATGTCCTCTCGGAAGCTAGTCGCCTCCAAAACCCTCGATGGCCATACCGGCTGGATCTGGGACGTGACCCCGTCGCGCAATGGCGAACTCGCCTCCGTCTCCAACGACATGACCATCCGGCTCTGGAACACCAAGACCGGCCTTCAACGCGGTCCGGCCAAGGATAACGGCCATTCAAATTGGGTCCGTGCCGTGCGCTTCTCCCCTAGTGGCCGCCTCCTGGCTACTGCGTCTGACGATATGACCGTTCGCATCAGGGATGCCATCACTGGATTCACTTACCGCACCCTGCAGGGCCACACAGGCAAAGTGCGCGTGGTTGAATTTTCTCCCGATGGAACGACGCTTGCGTCTGCATCGGATGACTTTTCCGTGCGATTGTGGAATGCGGGGGAAGGCTCGCTTCTCTCTATTCTAGAGGGCCACTCTGGCTGGGTACGCGCCGTGGCTTTTGCGCCTGATGGACAGACGCTCGCTTCTACTTCCGATGATCACTCCATCCGTCTCTGGGATACGGCGTCCGGAACGCAAATTCGCTTGCTGGCTGGTCACGACTCTTCTATCCGGGCGGTGTGCTTTTCCCCGGATGGGAAGCTTCTGGTCTCGGGCGCTCAGGACAAGACCCTGCGCATTTGGGATACGACTTCTGGTGATCTACTTGCTGTTCTGGAGGGTCATTTGGGTCCGCTACGCTTCATCACGTTCTCTGCTGACGGCCGCCTGATCGCTACCGCGGCGGATGACTTGACAATTCGCCTCTGGGCAGTACAGTCAGATTCACCGCTAGAAATTTCTTGTATTGGCGTTGTTACGGGCTATTCGGGCTGGGTTCGGGTCATCAAGCTGGAAAACGATGGCAGCATGGTGGTCTATACTTCTGATGACATGACTATCAAGATTTGGGAGTCGGCGTGATTATCTTATATCTTTTTTTTTTTTGGAGGTTTGGGATGTTTAGATGGTGATTTGTGTTTTGCGTTCTGTTCTATTTTGTTTGAGATACCCACCAACGTTCTTACTCTTAATTAACATTGAATCATTTTGCAATTAGCGTGGAAATTACCTTCAACTTTTGAAGGGCCGAGAACCCTACAGAATACAAGGGGCGTCCAGACCCCGTCTTATGCACCCAACCGGAACGAGGCGCTGGTCAATGCGCGCTCACCCGCCATGTACCTTTGTCCCGGGTGCACACAGTGTACTTCAGTACAGCTATGAGTCACTAAGCCCCTGACAAACAGACATTTTCGATGCCTGATTGTGCGGGTGTCGAAAAGGCTTGATTTCCACTACTGATGGCGACTACGCTGTCTAGATAGGAAGGGATATGCATGACTCTGAAGAACGATCATGACTCAACCATATACTTACGAAGATTGGTGTCGAACATGTCTTCATTCAAGCCAACACCATGAGCCAAACAGTCTCTAGGCCCAATGTTGACTTGACGTCCAACAAAGCTGATTTGGAGTCCCAGCCCACGCTGATAACTTTCTCAGAGAATGACCCCGAAAATCCACTCAATTGGCCGAGATCCAGAAAATGGGCCATCACCCTGGTCGTATCACTGTCGGTGTTCCTCATGCCGCTGTCTTCATCCATCGTGGCGCCTGAGTTGAGCACAATTAGAGATGATCTCCGAATGGGCAGCTCTCTGGAAGCTGTACTGGTGCTTTCGACTTTTGTCTTGACCTATTGTCTCGGTCCTCTCATCCTGGGCCCGTTGAGCGAGATCTACGGCCGAGTCGTTGTCCTGCATTTCGGCAATTCATTCTACCTGGTCTTCAACCTGGTGTGTGGGTTCGCTCGCAATAAAGGTGAGCTACTTGCTTTCCGTGTACTAGCAGGCTTTGGAGGCGCCGGGGGACTTGTTGTGAGTTCGCCTGTCTGTGTCATATTGATTCACGGTCTAACTTACCAGGTCGGTGCCGGTATCATCAGCGATTGCTTCTCGAAAGAGGAGCGCGGCTGGGTGATCGCTATCTACAATCTCGGGCCTGTCTTTGGCCCTTCCATCGGGGCGGTGATAGGCGGATTCATCACTCAGTATACAACATGGCGCTGGGCATTCTGGGCGACATCCATCTTTGACGGCGCTTTGATTATTCTAGGACTGATCGTGATGAAAGAAACATACCCACCCATCATCCTCGCCAGAAGAAAGCAAAAACTCAGTACCCCCAACCAACTATACACAACCCCCTACGAAAAGCCCGATCAAACCCCCACCCAGCTCTACCGCAACTCACTCCTCCGACCACTCCACCTCCTCCGCGTCCAACCCATCATCCAACTCCTCGCCCTCTTCTACGCCTACCTCTACGGCCTCATGTACCTAGTCCTCTCAACATTCACAACCCTCTGGCAAGAAAAATACCACTTAAACACCGGCCCCTCAAGCCTCCACTACCTAGCCCTAGGAATCGGCTACTTCCTCGGCTCCCAAATCTGCGGACTTCTCGCAGACCCAATCTACAAGACCCTCAAAGGTCCAGACACAGGGAAACCAGAATACCGCATCATCCTCATGTTCCCAGCCTCCGTACTCGCACCCATAGGTCTACTCTGGTACGGCTGGGCCGGACAGACTGTGACACATTGGATCGTTCCGGATTTGGGAATCGCCCTCTTCGCTGCTGCAGCTATGGTCTCGTTCCAGTGTACCACTGCGTATCTGTATGAGGCTTTCACGCTGTATGCGGCTAGTGCGACGGGGGCGGTTTATATTCTAAGGGCTCTGACGGGGTTTGGGTTTCCGCTTTTCGGTCCGGCTATGTATCGGAGCTTGGATTTTGATTGGGGGACTACGGTTGTTGCGCTGGTTGCTGTTGTGTTGGGTGTGCCGGCGCCGGTTGTTTTGTGGAGGTTTGGGGCGAGGCTTAGGGCGAGGAGTGATTTTGCTGTTGGTTAGAATTGTGGATGCCAGTGTCTATGATATCCTACTTACTCCCGAGGTTCTTACTCGTACGAGTTGCGGTGATTGCAGATCACTAAATTACTCGTATTAGACCTCGGTCCCCTATTTAGTGCTTAACTATTGCCTCTTTTGATCTGAGAGTAGAATCGAGCACGACTAACACTCTGACGGAAGTACGTTTATCAATTTTACTATAAATCGTCTACATGAGTATCAGACTATGCAAAACCATATACTACTGAAGTATAAAGTAGTAAATTTCGAGACAGAGTCTACTCCGTAAAGTAGTAGATTTCATAGTGCTGGGCCGCTGTATACTACCGCACTCTAATCCACGGATCATTACTACGTACATGAGCTGATATTGATGGAGTCGGGATGGAGCAGGTTTCTGTTTCTTCTAGTTCCTTAAATACTTCATTATGAATATTGAATTACACTTCAACATCACCATAGTTAAGCCTCCGCTCCTCATTGCAGCGATGGAGTGGATTGCTTACCAGGGCTAATCTACTCTTCTTCTTTCCACTTCCTACTCAATCTGTTTCACTTCCCAACTCTGGAAAAGACAATATGGAATCTCTCGAGCAGCCTGTGGATCCTGGAGACCTCCTTCTTCTTCACGGGGGGGAACTTGTGAATGAAGCCGGTGTTTCGACTTCTATCCGCCCATACATGCTTCTTGTTGCCTCTATCAAAGGTAATTCCAACGACACGCCTACACCTGGCAGCCCTGTCAGTACAGTTGATTCAGTCACCGTCTGCGGATCACCTATCTCTACCGACTCGCCCAATAAGGTTGACCCTCGACTCGATATTTCAGTCATCCAAGTTCGAAAAGTCCCTTATGGAATCACTTCCAAGAATGGCTGCTGGACACTAGATGGTCCCGATGTCTACTACACCCCACAAGAGGGTGAGACCGATTCCTCGTTTTTCTCCGAGCTACTCGGGAAGGACTTGAAGGATGCTGAGGAGGAAATCTGCGATGAAGATCTTATGTACCCAAAACGGGCATCTATCGCCGACACACACTGTCTTGGAGACTTCATGCCGCCTGGTGCAGGTGTAAAGCTGATGAGCAAGTTCCATGGCCGGTGAGTATTACCAGTTCATTCTCAATCACTCTACTGACATTGTTCTGACCAGCGATGCCTTACGCTACTATTTCAACGGCTGTCCGTGCTGTAATGGTACCACTTGGATCTGTCCAGGGTGTGGTGGTATAAGTAGGCTTTGGCCAGATATCTTTGCAAGCTGCGGTCGAGATCAAGCATGTCCCATTTGCATGGGTCTTGATATTGCAATGGAGGATAAGTCTTATTTGGATGAGCTTGAGAGACTTGAGGATATAAAATCGGGACACTGTTCGGGCACTCAATTTTCCGCTGATGATATGGATGAGGCATTGAGTTTGGCGACTGAACGATATGAGGCCCTCGAAGCCAGACATGAGGAAATGGGACACTTGGGTCATGAGAGTGCTGAAAAGATGCTCCAGCAATGGAAGGACGCTTTTTGAGGGGAGGAGTGCGCAGATGCGGATAAGACTTGACGAGGAATTTGTCTATCAGAAGTGTTAAGCCTTGGCTCTATTTGCTTCTGGTTATTCATTGCTATACCTAGGTAGTTCGTTGCCTATATTACTACCTATGAACTAAGGATTCCGATAGAAATGACTGAGACAGTTCCATTCAAAACTTAAAAATTGAAATGACTTAACTTGCATCCCAGTTGAGTGCATCCAGTAAGGTGTTCGGTATCCGACCAGACTGCGCCAGCAGTCTGCATCATCCACGGGGGATACAGCACAGGACCTTCGCGTATCATTTGGCCAACCGCGTCTCGTCGTTATCCGGCAATGGCCCATGTGCGAATATAGCGGCCAGTGTCGAATGCAGTGCATTTGGTCGGTTTTTGTGCTGACAGGTGCCTCAAGTCGACGTGACTCTGAATATCTTCACGTGTGTAATGCGCAGGTGATAATTCAGGTATTGAAGCTTTCTGCCGGTATAGAATCAGGCCCGACACTGGCCACTGTGCTGGACTTGTATAAGCGCCGCCACCGGGCCAGCAGGGATGGTAAGAGTCTGTTCCACAGTTGCGAACACCCCTTGAATAATGGATCGACGCGTACTTCCAATGCGTGAGATCAGAGAAAATTGTTACACGTTTGAAGACTGTAATGAGAAGTCCAGCTCGCTCTGAATGTCACGCACTCGGCCGGAGGAGCAATTCGATTATGCTACCACTTGCAGGAATTTGCGTTGTTCGTGTGCAAAAGTTTCGGGCATCCCGAAAATGCCTCCACATTTCAAGAGAAACCGCAGGAAATCCGAATCGTTGCCTCGTTTTCGTTTAGAGGCCGGATTTTCAGGATTTGCCTGTCCTGAAGCAATGGGTTTCGGCAGGGGATGGTTGTTCGGCGTTGATCGTGTTGAGGGCCTCACTCCGCTAGATTTCTTCTTGCATGGTGACGCCAGTTGATCGCTGTAAATCCAGGCGCTCTGGTGATGGCCGTCCACGAATTGGACTGGTGGTTGAAGTCGCTCGTGTGACATAGGCGTATAGCCCGCATCCATGAATGTTCAAGCATCAAGGTGATGGTCCCTCCTGGGAAGGGCGATTGAAAGCAAAGCAGAAGAGAGAAGAGAGAAGAAGAAATATCTCTACCATCTATTTATAGTGGGAGATAATGTGAGAGGGTCGCCCCAGCTCCTTTTGCTGTTTGTCGGCCGTTTGTAGATAGCCCGTTTTCTCCTTCTCTTCTTCCTTTCTCTCCTCGGAGCAGAATCGATTTGTTCTGTCCGCCTTTATCCCTTCGCCTGTAGGCTCATCAATCAGCATGTTAGACATCCCTGTCGAACAGTCTCCGGCTTCGAAGCTCTGGTAGCATGACGTGGTAGTCCCATGTCGAGTTCAGCAATTGTTGGCCTCGGCAGTAGTCCGATCAGCGTTGCTGATTGGACATTGAGGCTCACTGAGTAATCAAGCAGCATCCAATGAACATTTGTATAAGAGCAACTCAAGTATCAGTCATACATGTGAGCTCCGAGGTGCTGATATCTGCTTAAACACTCAAGATCTGAGCTTCGTTAAAGAGTCCGAAGAAATCCTATATTTACCAATCCCATCTTGCACAGATCAATTCCACAATGTCCGACAACTACGGCAGCTATCAAACTGAGATCTACGGCAAGGGTGCCCTGATGGGCATCCTGCCCGGCGTAACCACCGACCCCCGCAAATTGGAAGAGCAAGCTCGGGAATCCCTGGGTATTCGCTCTTTCAACTATGTCGCCGGTGGAGCAGGCGAGAAATCCACTATGGATAGCAATCGACAGGCATTTCGACAATGGAAGCTGCAAGTATCCCTTTGCCGTGGTAATAATCAAAAACTGACCATATCAGGATTCCACGCATGATGCGAAACGTAAAGGAATCAAATCCAAATCTACATATTTACAACTGACACCACACAGAAACCAGAGCAAGATGTCTCGGTCGAACTATTCGGTCAGAAATACGAGAATCCACTCATCGTAGCCCCGGTCGGCGTCCAAGGAATCTTCCACGAAGATAAGGAAACCGGTTTGGCCGAGGTATGCGGCGAAGTCGGCGTGCCGTATACGATGAGCACAGCTAGTACGAGTTCGATTGAAGATGTCGCGGCAGCCAACAAGGATGGAAAACGCTGGTATCAGCTGTACTGGCCGCGGGATAACAACGTCACTCTCTCGATGCTGAAACGCGCCCGGGAGAACGGGTTCTCGGTTCTTGTTGTCACGCTGGATACGTGGTCGTTGGCTTGGCGGCCGGCGGATCTGGATAATGGTTATGTCCCTTTTATTAAGGGGGTGGGGAATGAGGTTGGGTTCACTGATCCGGTTTTCCGGGCGAAGTTTGAGAAAGAGACTGGGTCGAAGGTTGAGGATGATATTCTTGGGGCGTCGAGGGCGTGGATTGGGGATATTTTTGCTGGGGCGCCTCATTCGTGGGAGGATTTAGAGTTCCTTCGGAAGAATTGGGATGGGCCATTGGTTTTGAAGGGGATTCAGCATGTGGATGATGCGAGATTGGCGGTCAAGGCTGGTTGTGATGGCATTGTCGTCTCGAATCATGGAGGTAGGTTGTGTTCCAGACCATTTCACCTCCCTCTAACGCTGTCCAGGCCGACAAGTGGACGGGGCCATTGGGTCGTTGGATGTGCTTCCGGAGATAGTTGATGCGGTCGGAAACCAATTGACAGTCTTGTTTGATTCGGGGATTCGGACGGGGTCGGATGTGATCAAGGCCCTGTGCCTGGGAGCCAAGGCGGTCCTGGTTGGTCGGCCGGTGATTTACGGGTTAAGCATTCAGGGCCGAGAAGGGGCCAGACAAGTACTCCGGGGACTTTTGGCAGATCTGTGGCAGAATATGGGACTGTCAGGAATCCGGACAGTGGAAGACTGTAATCGCAGTCAAATTCGCCGAGTTGAGAGTGTGAAGGCGATGATGTAGTCACATGTGAAAGTGCCCCCCTTTCCCCGTACTCTAAACATTGGAACATTTCAACATTTGAACAACATAACATCTTCATCTCATGGACTATTCTTAACATGTCGGAAAATGCAGTGGCGCAGATCACTCAACCAACAGGGTCAACCCTACTACCGCGTCCAGTCGCGTCGTTGATATCGTTGATTACCCAGTCAACATCACTTTCCCTACGATTGGGGACATTCTTCGGTGGAGCTGCCCTAGATGGCGCCCGAGCCACCACTCTCACTAGCCTCGAACTAAGCAGAGCCTTAGTAGAAGGCATCCTGACAAGAGCAGGACGCGATGTTGCGATCCGAAGTAGTGACGAGCACGGCAGAACAGAGGCAGAGTCGCTGCTGGAGCGAAGTGTAATGCTACAAATTCCTGCCTCCAAGGCCACTTTGGCTAACCCCCTTAGTTGGCCACGCTCCATACGACCGTGACCTCGGCATCGTTTTTCGCAGCGGCCTCATTCCACTTCTCGTCGACAACGTTGTCTTCCATCTCCCATCTATCACAGGCACTCTTGTCGACTTTAGACGCTATTCTAGGGTCCACCGAGTCTTCCAGGGCGATTGCGGCCATTATCACGCTCATTCGGCGCGAGTTCAGGTCCATTGAGCCCGGTGCAAGTACCGAGAAGATCGGTGTCGGGGATCTACTCGTGGGCTCTTTGGGCTTCGCACTCCTGCAGCGTTGGGGAAAGAAGAACACCGAACGTCATCTACGTCAGAATGGGGGTGATGAGGTTGTTTGGGATGTCGTTATCCTGGACAATGGCGCAAGAGCAGACGTGATCGGCTCTCATCAACTGCAATTTCCCGACCGTGGAAATGAAGAACCAGTCGAGCCTGGGAGTGCGTCTTTTGTAATGCCAGGAAATGGCGAAGAAGCTTTTGATGCGATCAGGCGCTCTAGCGCCACTGATACCCTAGGGCATCGTCTCTCGATTCCTTTGGATGACCAGCAGCAGGTCTCTGATGAGGATGTTCGTGCTTATATCATGAGCCAACTCCCTCAAGGTTGCCATGCATCTATCAGGTCGGAACTCTTGACCGCGCGAACAATCACGGTTGATATCTATGATGACGATATGGCCGAGATCGCAGCACCGCCGGGAACGAAGATGATTGAGGAGAGATTTCACCACAACTATGATTCTGGAGATACACTTATGGTTGATGGTCAGCAACGGCTCCCACGACAAACCGTGGTCTTTCGGACAGCTTTCAATAAGTCCCAAAGCACTCAGTTGCGGCCCGGTGATGACTCTGGCATTGCAGCATTGCCTGATGCCGCTCATCGCCGGGTATCACTGAGCAAGCCGTTGCCTGAAAGCCCCGTCAAGTCCCAAAGTAGCCCATCGCGTTCGCATACTGATACACCTAGTACCGCCAAGCACCAGATGCCAGAATCACCGGGCGAAAGCTCCAAGCCCGGTCTCGGCAAGGGCTTCACTAAGTTTGCACAGCTGGTAAAGCCAGCTAGCCTGGAGAAAGGCGACGCCAAACGACCATTGGGAAAGTCCCCAAAGTCTCCAGTGTCCGGAAATACCGCTCCTCGTCTGCCACCCAGGCCTACGAATAGACCTACGAAAGGATCGGCTTCTGTGAAGGAAGCCACCGCTCGAGAGATCTCTGCAAAGCCCGATCTTAAGAAAAGCCGAACCGAGCCTGCAAACTATCGGCCCTCAACTCCAGCACCAAACCGAGGCTTGCGAAGGTCACCCTTTACCGGCTCACCTCAAAGACCACCGCCCCAGTCGCAAACAAAACATGTCACATCTCATGAGGTATCTCCGAGAAACAATCGCGGAGGTCACTTCTCACTGAGACATGATAATCAAGAGGCGTTTCTTACTCAAAAGGATGCTTTTATAGCCCGCCGCGGTGGTGATCTTCGTCCCGGATCCCCTGCTACGACCCAAACACATGTTCGTAGTAGCAGCTCGATGTCCATCACAAGATCAGAGGCAGATGGAAGGATGTCGGCAAACGACAATCGACCTGGATCGTCGGCTCTCCATCGCAGATCTCACTCTTACACCCCGAGCATATACTCACTGGCAACTGCAGGATCCGAGACATCCCTTTTGCTTGCACATCGGCCACGCAAAAGTGCTTATGGAGATACAGAAACTATCCAGGCTCTGAATAGGGATGGCATTGTCCCAGGTATCTTTCCTGAGAGACATTTCGTGCAGAATATTAGAAGATTCTGTCGGTTCTCGTCCGCTTCATATGGCTCCAACGCACTCAAAGTCATGGGCGTCCCAAGAGACCCTACAAACCTACCCAATACCACGTCTGACGGCCACGTCCACAGTGCGTTTACAGAAAACGCAGGTCTCCCACCGTCTACCATTCTCCTATCATCCTTTGTCGATCCAGCCGGCGGCTCGAATGCTGCCGGCGAAACAGACACAGGATTCCCCCTCGTCCACTATCTCTCTATAGACCACGACTCCAAAGCCATTGTCCTCACCCTACGCGGGACCTGGGGCTTCGAGGATATCCTCACAGACATGACCTGTGACTACGATGATCTGGAATGGCAAGGCAAGAGCTGGAAAGTCCACAAAGGCATGCACGCATCCGCCAAGCGGCTCCTGGAAGGAGGCGGCGGTCGAGTAATGATCACGCTACGAGCAGCCCTTGAAGAATTCCAAGACTACGGCATCGTCCTCTGCGGCCATTCTCTCGGTGGTGGCGTCGCAGCCCTTTTAGCAACAATGATCTCAGAGCCAAACCCCATCCAAACAGGCACTTCCTTCATAACATCCTCCTACCGTCCCCGTCTCCTACCAGACACCAACTCAAACACCATCCCAACCTACACACTACCCGCAAACCGCCCCATCCACGTCTACGCCTACGGCCCACCAGCCGTCATGTCCCCCTTCCTCCGCATCGCCACCCGAGGCCTCATAACAACCATAGTAAATGGCTCAGACATAGTCCCCAGCCTGTCACTTGGAATTCTACACGACATGCACACAGCCTCCCTCTCCTTCAAAGACGACACAGCCAAATCCCACATCCGGCAACGTCTCCGCGACTCACTGCGGCAAAGCATCATTCATAAATTCTACGTCAATCAGCCGCCACTGGTCGTCAATGCCGGCGACGGTGTCGGCGAAGATGCCTGGGCTTGGAAAACGCTTAAATTACTCCGTGAGGAAATGCGGGCTCCAAAGCTCATGCCTCCAGGTGAGGTCTTTGTCGCTGAGACTATGCGCGTTTTGCAAAGGGATGCTTTTACCCTGCCTGATCTTGATGGAGGGAGGCTTGGGAAACCAGCTACACGGGTCCAGTTGCGATTCGTGAGAGATGTTGATACTTACTTTGGGGAATTGCGGTTTGCTAGTGGCATGTTGAGTGATCATAATCCAGCTAGGTATGAGACTAGTCTGGCGGCTTTGGTTAGGGGTGTTCTAGATGGGTAGGGCTACATCCATGGATCTATGCAATGGTTATATAACGCCAAGGTTTGTTATTTACGATTTAATGACTTTAGGATAATTACGGCAGATAGAAACAATATTAATTTTATTTGAGTTTTTTTTGCTTTTTTAAGAAATGACTCTGGGACGGGAAAGCCTTAACATGTGTTCACCGGTGTCCACGGGTTGTAGATCGAAGTATATCTTCCCTCGGGGAGTTGATCGGAGCTCGCCGGGAATTTTAACCAGGGGTCTGGAGACAACCTGGAGATCCAGCCACTGCCGCAGATCAAAGAATCGTTCATTGCGCATATGACCGTATGACAGTCACAGCATGAAAGGGCTGGGCATTGCGCGGCCCCATGTGAAAAACACATGCCCTTCTAAAATCGAGCATGTGAAAGGGCGCTCATGCAAAAGACGTAAATACAACTTGGGAAAAGAATGCGAGTCATGGTCATAGAATATACATTTCGAATCATAAGTTTATAGAGTGTATGAAACCAACCCATCTAAATGGGAGAACCAACAACAAGAGATCCAGGGTATCACGGACATTCACAACGCCGAAACAAAAGAAACCCAGTACAAAAGAAATCCTTTTTTTCACAAATACAAGCATCATCTGATGCAGGTTTAAACGACCAGTGCTGGGGCAGGACGGCCAGAGTGGCAGCCCCGCTCGTGGCGCTTCATGTTACTGCGCACTGAGAAGGCCTTTCCGCAGCCAGCATGGGTGCAGCGGAATGGCTTCTCGCCAGTGTGCGAGTGGGAGTGGATGCGCAGAGAGGAGGGGCGCGAGAAGGCCTTGTGGCAGGTGCGGCAGATGTAGCGGTCGTGGTTTTGTTGGTATTGGGTTGTTGAGGAGGGGGGGAAGTAGTGGTGGTGTTGCCAGGCTGGAGTGACGGGGGAGATGAGTGGTTGTTGTGGCATTTGGGGGGCTGGTGTTGATGGGGCGAAGGTTGATGTTGTGGGTGGGCGGGAGTAGTAGAGGGCTTGTTGGGGAGCGTCGATGGGTGAGGTGTATGATGAGACACTGGGGGCTGGAGAGGCGTAGGGTTGAGTCATGTGGATGGAACCATTGCTGGAGATGGAGGAGCGGTGGTCCTTGGTGATTTCTGGAGATGCGCGGCTGTGGCCGTGGCCGGAGCCGGGGCGCAGTGGTGGTGTTGGGGGCAGCTCGTAGGGCTGGACCCGGATGTGTCGTTCACCGAGAGGTGGTGAGAGACGTTGGCGCTCTGGTAGATTGGTTAGATATTGTTATATAGTATAGTGGTAGTAGGATGTACTCACTGGCTGAGTGCTGGCCATCGGCGCCCTCGAGAAGAGAGGAGATTGAGGGCAGAGAGACCTTGGGCTCTTCGGCCGGTGGAGAGAGAGGTGCCGAACGCTTGTAGTAGCTCGAGTCGACAGGAGTATATGGCTTAGGAGCCGAGAGGAGGTTGGCGAGATCCATGGTGTGAAGTTGGGGAAGTCGAGATGTGTGAGCAGTGAACAGTGGGGGGAAGACACGAGGTTTATAGCGATGGGTTTATAGAAGTAGCCTCTATGATCGCCGGTAAAATTACGATGTCCATTACGGCAAAGTGTAAGTTAAATTCGCATTCCAAAGCTTATTTTAATGAAATTTCCTGAGTTGCCCGTTTGGGGTCAGGGCCGATGTTCAAAGGGAAATAGGGGAGGGGAATAAATGGGGGGAAATAGCTGAAAGAGGAAAAAGGAATAGACAGAAAAATAGGGGAAAAAGGAAGAAAAGGAAATAAGTGGAAACCATGTGTCCGTTTAAAAGAAAATATCATAAATTGACCAAAAGGGAAATAAAACGAGATCATACAAAATAAAATAAAACCTGTAAATATCATTAACTGAATAATTCTTTTTTTTAAAAAAAAGGAAGAAAATTATTTTCGGAGATTAACGTGGGGGAATGACGATGACCACGCGAAAAGCCGCAAGGGAAGAACCTATCAGCCTCGTGGGATGAGCCACTAAACCCAAATTGGGAGGCCGGAAACTCCCCGTTGGACAATTTCATTCCTCGGCTACGGTTAGTGCAGATCTTCTTTTTTTTTTTCTTGCTTACCTGTCACATCTCTCCACCCAACGGTTGATCGTGCGATCAGATTCTAGTGTGCGATCGACAGTCTACTGCTGACCGGTTTCTCTTGACTACTTGTAGACCATGTTCTGAGAGAATATTGAACTTCTCCTTTTTTTTTTTTTGTTCTGGTTTCGAAACTCATTGAATATATCTCAGATCCGGGGATGACACGGTTCAGGAGATCCTTCTGTCGCGTGGCTATGGGGAAAGTGATCCCAACGGCGCAGAAATCCAAACGGGAAGGTCACAAACCAACGGACTAACCGCTTTGGGGTTACACCTCCGGAATTATCTGCGCTTAGGTGCCTACTCAACTTTATTATAGCTGCCTTATTAAAAACGCTTGAATTAAATAGAATAAAAATTAAAAAAATATATATCATACAATTAAAACAATGGGAGATACTCGCATGCTGTAATGACCAGAGCGCTAAGCGCTGGCGAGACCACGACATGAATGCCTGAAACGGTTAATCCATGGCCCCGGGCTCGCTTACACGAACTTTATGGAGTGCAGGAGACATGGGTATGCAGGGAGCCAAACTATATTTCCTTTTTTTTTTTATTTCTCATACTGGTATCATTTTGAGTATATCTTTATGCATTTTGACTTTGAGCAGATGGTACGTGTCCGGTTTGATCGCTGCAGAACGGTGAACGGGTCTGTTTCGGCAGTGAGCCTACTGATTTAAGAAGGTGACAAGACCCAAATGGTCGATCCCAAGACCCTGCTCCTGAAGATCATTCCTCAAACCTCGGCTTCGCCTGGCAAAACGGAGTTAGATCGGCATTCTGGAACATTACTCCTATTTCTGTAACCAATGTTCAAACGGGGCCGTGCATGAGTTCTGCAGCAGCCGCCGCTGGGGATTGGCCGTTGACTGGGGTTGGCCCCACCTCTCCTCGTGGAAGCGAGGGCCCCCACTATTTAGTCCTCTTTAGCCCCCTTTAGTCTCTCCTTTAGCCCTTTTAGCTGAGATCGCCGGTGACAGTCTGTCCTTGTACTCTGTAGTAAGCTTTGGTAAAAACTTACGAGTACGAGGTTGATCTACGTCTACGGTGTGTACTGGGAGATGCTGCATTCTTCACTGAAATCACACGCATACCGTGTACACCTGTCAGCTTTCAATACCTATGTACTGACGTATCCAGCACACATCTATAAGCGCTCGAGTCGACGTGATATGTCTCACCTGACATTCGCGTGTCAAATGGGGATACCGGTTCTAGAATGGCTCGAGCGCCAGGATCGCCCCGGACGTGGATCATGGGTGATCGGCCCCCCTGGTCGGCACTTGGTACACGATAATGGATCGCCTATACTCGTCCGAGCCTGGGCCTCCCGGCCTGACTGTTGCATCGGCAGTGATTGGGTCTTCCATGGTTCTGTTCAGGATAAATGGCTATTTCATCCTAATGCAAAGTCTGGGTTTGACTGGGAAATGACTCGTACTCGTAGAAGCAGAGACAACATCACTGTGAGACAAGGATTCATCTTCATAGAATCCTTCGCTTCCCGTACTCATTGCTCCGTCGAGATCAAACCTTGCCCAGAACTCAGATTTTCCTTTTTCTGAAACCGGGAACCATGAGGTCCGATATCCCTTGTTTAACTTTACCTTTGGGCTTTTACCTTTGCGCAAAATGTTAATCCAAATGTTAATCTCGCTTCCAGGTAACGGTCTACGGAGGACGAGTACGGAGTTTGAGTACTCCGTAGGGCATGTCCTGTTTCGTGTAGATGCCACGTACGCAATCTACGAGTACTTCATATCAATAGTCAATTCAAACTGGACCGAGGCTTTCAAAGTCATACTATCCTGTTCTGGCCATAGACCCGGGTAGGCAACGGACTCAGCCGTGATGATCGCTTCTATAAATTTCCCGGGGGCACTGGACCCATGCCACGCGACTCACCCCTTTTTTCCCATGGGCCACAAGCACGCCCCAAGGTCATGGTCGCAAATCAGTGGGGCTATTTCTTTTTCTTTTCTTTTTCTTTTTTCTTTTTTAGAACGCACACGAGGAACCTGATCTTCAGGGTAAACCGCAGTAAAACAATGTGAGAGGTCTGCACACTGCTATACGTCTTATACGAAGGTTGCCTTTTGGCGAACACATGGCACTTGCATTATGCGAGACCATCTAATGTATCACATTCATGAAACTGAGCTTCAAAGTGTAAATTAAAATTAAAATTAAGAAAGGTCCAAACTCATGACGACAGCCGGTCTTTCAAAAGTTTAAAAATTCCGAGGTTAAGACACCGTATATCCGTTATCCCCAGTACTTTGCCCGTGAAAAACCCCGGTAAATCCTCGTAAATCACCGGAAAGGATAACTCCTCAACCTTGTTTATGTCGATCGGCGATTGGTAGATCCGATCGCACGTCTAACCTTTTTGGGAAGGTGCTTCTATTGGCAAATGCATTGTTTTTTTCTTTTCTTTTTTTCTTTTGTTTCTTTTTGATATATACGTATCTGCTCGTACATGCAATATGCAACGTACTCATTTCACGTGGCATCCAGCCCTAATTTGGCATCACGCCCGATGCACGTCTGCGTCCGATGGGCTATCCGCATGGTGATCCTCCCGCAACCAAGGTGCATTAGCATGTCTCTCATTAATATGATATTGGATTTCTCGATCGGGTTCATTCCGCTGAGAAATCCTGCATCTAATTTATGAGTGATCCTTCAACAGCTAGGGAATGTGGACTCCTCGTATGGAGTTGAATAAGGTATCCGAGCCTCGAACTCTGATCTTCTCGAAAAAGGCCCTGTCACCTATCCTCCTTCCTTTTCGAAGGAAAGATCGGTGGATCAACGAAGATCCAACTTCAGGGGATAACCGCTGGCCATAGCTCCCACTCAGCCCATGATCGCCCGCCATCGCTAGGCGATGTCCATTTCCGGAATGTCCCCGATGCAGTCCTCCACGTAATGTACTCGTACTCGTAGCTTTACATGCGTATTGCACTGGCCCCCTAATATTAATCTTATCGACTGGTCTGTATCTAGATTAGATTGATGATTGCCTGCACTGGTGATTATTGATCGGCTCCGGGGCCAGCATGGATGTGGTGCGGTTTTCCTTTTTTTTCCTTTTTTCTTGTGCATGTATATAATTGTTCATTGTTTGAATATACTAAGTATATCCCTTATTTCTTCCGGCCCCCAACTCACAAAAAAAGCAAATTCTACACCGTAACATGCTGCGTTTGACAAAATCGTATCTCTCGTATAGCAATCCGAACCCGAACGTCTGAAAAATCAGGTAGGGGTAAAAAGAAACAGGTCATCACAGGAGCCTCATGCCCTGGAGATTCCTTAATCACCTGCTGCAACCAGCATTCTTACCGAAAGATCGACGATCACTCCTCTGACAACAAAGGAGATCTCAAAGGGAGATCCTACTACGAGTAGGTACGGAGCGGGGATTAATAATCCAGGGCTATTTGCTGCTACCGAATGATAGTTAAGATAGTTTTAGGCCGATTTTAACTGGTAGGTGCATCTATACTCGTAGACGGAGTTACGAGTACCGGGAATAAGCATGGGTTACGGTTGGAACTCGGCATGTCTTCACTCCGTGAAACAACGAGCCGTTCGTCAATTCGAGATCCCCAAATGAGGGCTTCCCGGGATCCTACCGAGCGCGCTATTTCCATTTTGAGTATAAACCCCGCGATCGTCGCCCGGTGCATGGCATTCTACGCTAACCCTCTTCACAAGCGAACTGGGGCCCTGTCCACTTTTATCCCCCATGTCTTTCCGTCTATTTTAGGGAGGTATTATCGAAGCTATCGTCATCTTTGTCCGTAGATCCTGCTTTTGGTTGTTCTTGACCACCTTGTTCCTTCTTGATTTTTGTTTCCACCCCGGTTCTTGCACATCCTTAGATCGACACTCTGGCCCCTGCCCCCCTGTAACTGTCGTATCTCGATATTTGCGATCGGCACTCCGTTCAAACTCCACTCGATATATGAAACATCCGAGAAACATCCCTGCAGCAAACCCATGAAAATACCCGCGCTTCGGTGGTTTGAATGCTCATATACCCAAATCTAGCCATATTCCCGGGCATAGTCTTCGGAGAGGTTTGATAGTCCCTATGATAGTCCCTTTACTAATGCTGACAACATCCCAACCATCTGTAATCCTAATCTCTTCTAAACTTGCCGAGGCACAACCTCATAGATTGAGCCGTCTTTGTGTCTGGCTTTACCGGTTTATATTGCTTCCCTACCTAATCGGGCTCCATCCCCAGCCACTAGACCCCTGTCATCGCTCTATTAAACTTCGGGTCCAAGACTCGGCTTCGAGTGTCATTCTAGATCTACCGTTGAGCACATTACGTCGGACTTCCACTGAAGCCGCTGACTCAAGATTATGTGATTTCACTGATCCACATCCAATTATCCATCTCCGGCTTCAGGAGTCTTATGCACGGTCTCCTCGCATTTACACCATTCTCCAACTCGGAATCAGCCCGTACAAGGGGTAGAGTACAGAGCACACAGTACCATGCAGCATACTTAGAGGGGAACAGGGTCCGATCATCCTACTTACGAGTAGTATACCAACCTCAACCTCTCTACTCCGTACGGAGCACTCGCCCCCGATTCCAAGTACTCCGTAACCGCACGAGTACAATGCATACGAAGAGGCGAACAGTGCTCACCGCATTGATCACCGGAGATATCAACAAATCCAATCCAAGCGGAGCCCTCTGGACTGGATTGCTTGCATTGCATAGAGTTTTTCCCAGCGCTGGTGGCGGTGATTCGACAAATGTCTCCGACGTATCATGACCTGGCCACTTGGAGGTATTATCGGTAGTCGGCGGTCGGCGACTATGAGTGGTTTTATGTCTGCGCTAATGGTAGATCCTACGTGATCGACCGGTGATTTGCACAGGTCTTGTTTCATGTCGGCAATTGTTTCTTCCCTCGTGCGGGGATTGGTTCTGATTTTCTTAGATTGTCGTGATCATACAGGCATCATGTTGGTAGTGTAGCATGGCGTAGATCATCATACCGTTGCATTGCGGCTTTTTCTCAGGGCTGTGCGTTGGCAATTTAAACATCCTTGTTCTAAAGTTCGCGAGTCAGCCCTCGGCTTGTACCTGGGTACCAACTTTGGAATTAGAAAGTACCTAGGTACTGGGAGCATCGTGGGTAACTTTAGAATATGTTATTGTAGTCTGGGCCGGGTTGGATCCCATCGTCCTGGGTATTGGGTGCTCAAGTGGTGCGCCACCGGCGGATCCAAGACCTCACGTAATATAGATATATATATACTTACATTAAGTAGTAGGTACCTAATGTATCTATATCAAGGATAGGTGCATTCAAGTACCCAAGTACATGCAGCCCTGAAGTAGCCAAGTACCCAATCACCAGTAATAGCAGATATGTCGAATGGGCTTGCGTTACATCCAATACACCTAAGTAGTATCTGGAAACACCTGCACAGGCAGTCTGTAGAGCAATGTACAACGTAATACCAAGTCACCGAGTCACCAGGCCAACATTACACCCGACGTCCAGCTCTGAATTTCTAGAGTTTTTCCCCCCTAGATTGTGTGACCGTGCGACGCCGGGATCTTAACCATGCAATGCCAAAGTATATATACGCCGTGACTCCACGACAATAGCATGCTGACCCACCCCACGTTTGGGGGCCGTTTAATGATCAAGCAACTAGGTGACCAGTGCGCTGGGGCCGTGCGAACCTAGAGTACGAGATGCACATGAAACATGATGTATCTGGAGTACGAGTCTCTTGCATTCTGCAAAATGCAAGAACCTGGTACTCCCTACTCATACTCCGGACTATTGACTCAAATTCAGGTATGACATCTGGCAGACGGAATGGGCCGAATCGGAGAGATGACGAGAATAGCATCCAAAGTCCATAGTACTGGAGGACAGGGGAATAGTTAGGAATGGCTCAAAGTCAAAAAGCAGAAAAAGACGCATACTTGAGAGTATATGTTTTTCAAAATCCGACAAGCCCCGGATGTTCGTAGAATAATAGGCCAATAGGCCAATAGATGATAGATACGCCACAGTCGGACAGGCCCCGAAGACAAAGCCCCAAAAGCCAGACAATTTAGAGTTGGTCTTAGCGAGAAGTCCGCTGTTGGCCACCCATTGGCCTTCAATCTTCCGTGTGGAGGTGATCTGCGACGGAACCGCCCGTCGATCTGAGCTCTCTCTTTGTCTGGTCTTTTTTTTTTCTTTTTCTTGTTTCTACGAGAATTTCGCTTAAGCGAAATGAGCTATTGACTGGGAATCGTATGATACTCAAATCCTTCCAGAATGGAACCCGGCTAACGATGTAACTAACTATAGGGGGCTGGGAGTCCACTTGCCTCTTTGACCTACTCCGTAAGTTAGGCAAACTCTGTGTGGGACTGAAATCATAACTACCGAAGCACAGACACGGAGAGGCCGATCATGCATATGGAGCCGCAGTTTCTCGTCCCCCCACGCCTCCTTAGTTGGGCAGGTCGTGACTCGGGATCTTCGCGAACCACACTTTGCTCTTGGGGATCTTCTTCTTCTGGAAGATTGACGAGTATAGAGTAGTACAAAGGAGAGATGGGAGACTAAAATGGCAGTGATGTAGAGGAAACCTCAAAATGTATTGCGTAGATGTCGTCAAATTCACAGAAAACGCCGCTACCGGCCGAAATGGGTATCGATGGGGGCACAACCCAGGAACATGACAAAAGGAGAGAAACAAATACTCGTAACAAAGGAGAAAAGAGGGGCAGCAGATCAAGAAAGAAATCAAGTAAATCGACAAAATTTCAAGAAAATTCAAGAATTCACGCAACGACCGGGGTGTGGTGATTCTCAATGAGAGGACCAGCCTCCTTACCAGTGAGTGCGGCCATCTTCCGAATCGCTTCCTTGAAATTGATCTTGCCATAATCTTGGGGCATGTGCTCACCGCTGTAAATGCAAAGCACACGCATGCCCCGCTTGTAAGCGAGACCATTGAGTAGCTTCGGTGTAATGAGGAAGTATTGGCCGCCCCCGCCCCCGCCGATCGGGTTGCCGCTGTCGTCGACCTCATCCGGTTCACTGGAGGCACACGCAATGTCGACCAGGCGTCCGTGAACCATGCGCTCGTTACGTGGGTCCATACCCTGGTTGATCTCATCGACCACGCGGAAGGGTGATGCGGAGAGTGACTGGAGCGCCATCAGGTAGAAGATCGTACTCACGGCGCGTTCGCCGCCGGATTGGCGGTGCGCGTTCAATACAGACAGGGGCGCGTCCTGGCGGAATGCAACATGGATCACAATGGACCACTCTGCAAATTCACTGGCTCCTGGCTCACCATTGGGACCAGGCTCACTTTCGGCTTTGCCCAGGGTCACCTGGCCAGCGCAGCCAATCCGTCGGAATGAATCAGAGAAGGCATCACTGATCTTCTCAATGAGGGCTTCTAGTCGGGGCTCCCATCTTTGACGGATTTCGTCGATGGCACCGTTCATTTCTGCAAGTTGCCTCTCGAATTCGGTAAGTTTCGACCGCAGCTGAGCAATCGACCTTTCGCGGTCTTCGAATTCCTTGACCATGTGTTCGCTTCCACCATGAGTAAATTGAAGCCGCGCCACTTGGGATTCAATGTCAGCCTCATGACGGGCGATATCGTGATCTGCAAGCCCATCAATGATCTCTTTTCCGCCAGGCAACTCCTCTACATCCTTGATGATCTTCTGAGCCTCCTGCCTGGCTTCCCTGGCTTTGGTCTGGAGCTCTCTTGCCAATGCGACGGCATCTTGGAACAGCTGTCTCTTCTCCGCCGTCGCCCTCTCGGTTTCGGCATGGCGTCGCCGCAAGGTCACCAGGTCAGAGTTGGCCTCCAAAAATTGGACTTGGATGTTCATCAGCTCTTCAAACGCCTGGCGGAACATTTCAACGGCATCCTTGGAGGTGTCAGTCAGAATTATTGAGTCAAGTAGGGGGAAGCACTTACGGCGTATTGCACAGTAGCCTCAGCCTTCTCGTTTGCAAGGGCGTCTTGTTTGTTGCGGAGACCGCGGACTCTTTCTCGCATGTCACTAAACATGGTCGTGATGGCATCAAGCTTGGCTTTATTATCGTCTGTAAATAGTTAAATACCATCCACCACAATGGGATGATCAGAGAAACATACCAATCAATTTTGGAATTGCCCGGTATTGAGTGTGCGCAGTCTGTTTGGCCTCTTTCTCCTTCTCAATCTCTTTCTGCGAAACGAGTCAGTAAGGGGATGAAAGACAGAGAAACAAAATGATAATACCATGTCCTTGTTGAGCTGCTCCGATTCCTCACGTAGTTTCTGAACGGTGTCCTTTTCAGAGTCAAATTTCCTAGTGAGATCGGCAAGTTTCTCTTTCCATAGGTCAATGTCCTCCTGGTATCGATGCTTGAGACTCTGGTCAACAGGTTGTGAGGTCCAAATAGTTGCGCTCTTAACCTGTCGAACCCGTGTTGATGTCGCACCAGGTCCGTACTCTCTGCGCCGAGTGATATTGTATGCACTCTTGCCGGATACCCAGGAGCTCAGCGAGCTACTCTCCTGCAGCCTGCTGAATGCTGCCTCGGATATTTCTCCGACCGAAAGGGGAGTCGCATGTAGGTTCTTCTCGCTGCACAGCATGGCAATGACGGTATCAGGCCCAGTGAGGAAGTCTCTCGCCCAGCCATCGAACCCCAATTGCCGGATTTGATCATTAGGCATTGGAGGCTTCAGTTGGTCAAGTGACATCGAACAGGTCCGGATGGAGATATCGTGGAGTTGCATGCCACCAAGGAGCTCCCTTTGCATTGTGCGGAAGTCATTTCGGTTCTGAACAGTGAATGAGGTAAAGTCTGTCTTTTGGAATATAGACTCGACGGCATCGGCAAACTTTGGATCTGTGATTGAGCAGGTCACAATAGGGGGGCCGAAGACTTCCTGTTCAAACTTGTTCTGATTCTTAAGAAGCCATTCGTAGGCCTCCGCCGTATCTCTAGATGCATTCTTAAGCTTGATTTCTTGCTGACCAGATGCCGAGTCCAGATTGGCCAGCTGGCGCTCAGCCTTTTCGATCTCCATCTTGGCCTCTTTCTGGCCTTCCACGATAGGAGTTCGCCTGTCTTTGATCTCCACGGCTTCCACCTCTATCTCACGTTTCCGGTGTCGTTTCTCTCTCTGTGGAAACCATTAGCAAGGACGTGATTGTACTTGGAAAGAAAAGTCCTCTTACCAGAGACTCATTGAAAGATTCCGGGTCAAACTCAACGGGCTCATCGTTCAATTGGCGTTCGAGTTTGTTGATGGCTTGCCTTGTCTTCATTGCTTCGGCCTTTTGGCTTGAGACGCTCTTCTTCTCGCCTTCAATTTGGCCGTTGATATCATTGATTTTCGCGTCCAGCTGTTCAATCAATTTGCCCCGTGCGGCGGCGCGCTTGGACGCCTCGTCAACGGCATCACTTCGATCATCTTTGGCCCCATTCATCTCTTCGATATAGGCGGCTTTGGCTTCTAATGCATGTTGGACTGGCGCATTCTCTTGCTTGATCCGTTCGTAGTCTTCTTTCAGCTGAGCCTTTTTCTCTTTCACGGCATTAAAGGCATCCAAGTGCTGTTTGTACGCCACCACCGGTCGACATTGTTGAAGGATCTTGATAAGATTTTCAATTTCAGCACGTTCACGCATTCGTTCAACGTCTGCCCGTTGCATTTCTTGGCGGTTCTCCAGGTTTGCGAGAGTATCCTTGTCGCCACCGTTGTCAAGCTCCAATCTCTTCTGCTTGTTCCTGAGACTTTTCAGAGCATCATGCCATTCGAGCATCTCGGGACCGGCTGCCGCCCTCTGGGTGGAGTGGAGGAGGTCAATTGGAGTAAGCGCAGCAAACTCAGCAACTTTGTCCTGAGGAAGAAACTGGCACAAATTGTCCACCTGAATGGCAAATGACTGAGCGAGTTTGAGTACCTCGTTCTTGGAGGCGGTTTGTCCATCAACCAGAAAAGAGCTCTTGTTGCCATCACGCTTGATTGTTCGTTGGATGACAGGGTTGTGGCCTATCTTTGGTGGTCCACATAGTTCGATTTCGATGACGGCTTCTTTGTTGCCGTGTTTGACGAACTCGCCTAGATCTTTGGCACGTCCGAGATGCTGGACAACACATTAGTCACAGTAAATTAAAAATAGTTGAATGTCATCCAGCTTCGTACCTGTGGGCCCCATCCAAGTCCAAGACAAATTGCACAAACCAATGTGCTTTTGCCCGTGCCATTAGGCCCAATCACCATGTTCAACTTCGGGCCTGGGAAGAACTCCGCCGATGTGTAGGTGACAAAGTTCGTCACTTTGATGCGTACAATGGCACCCGGCTTATAACCACCAGGGCCCAGCCCGTCGTGAGGTACAACTTGCGGTGGATTGGCGATGGTTTCTGAGGTGCCAGATCCCTCACTTTCTGCACCACTTTCTTCCTCTTCATATTCGCCTTCAGCTTCAACACTTTCTTCTTCGAAAACCTCACTATCGCCTCCCGCGGGGTTCAAGCGGGGGCGTTTGGCACTCGGTGCGCGCGAGTGAGCAGTTGAGGCGGGTTCTTCATCTTCCTCTTCGCTGCGGGGTCGTCGGCGCGATGAATTCGGTGATTCCATGATGGATACTGAGTGAGTTGCTAAAGGTAAGTCATGAGAGACTCGTGGAACTCGCTTTGTCAAACGTTCTTTGTTCAAACGCGAGAAACGCGTGAGCGGTGATCAATACTAAGTCTAATTCGGGCAGGCGGTCAACCGACCATGCGGCAAATTGATTGCGAGCGATCAGCTTCCTTTTTGTACAACACTCACCATGCCTCCAAATGTTAAGCGAATGGTTTTGACGGCTGCGGTCGTCTCTATCACTATAACAGGCACCCTCTATGGAGCTGGTTTGAAAACAAATGAAGAAGTCGCCCAGGTAAGAGCCAATCTATCCCGACCGGAGCTATCCGTTTACATCATTTCATTTGCGGAGACATAACTAATCCATGGCCCTTTCAGACGAAGAAGAAGCAAGAAGAATCGACCTTTGACGATCAATTTAAAGCCCTTCAAGCTATGCGGTCAAACCTTGTCGCCCGGAGAGGCATACTCGAGAACCAAATACATGACTTGGATGCAAGGGTGCTGGAAAAGCAACAGAAAGGAATCAGCAAGGACGACAAGCAACAACCACAGGGGGGACGATGAAATATGCACTCACTACCCAACTGTGCAGCGCAATGCCGACGGTCAATCGCAGCAGCGCGCCAATGGAAGATCCACCTTAGCTTGTGATCGACCTGTGTTATATCAAGGATAACACTTCGGGTCCAATACTATGGCTCTTGGTCGCGAGAACCCAGGATTCAGCGGAAACTCATACGCCGGGCGATGATTTCCACACGAGGCCAGGATTACCCCCGAACCAACGCCATGAACAATCTCACATACGCCAGTCGCTAGTGATGGGATCTTTAAACAGAGAACCGTTCTGGATCGTGAAGCAGCAATACATACTGGCTGGTTGGCACTTGGAAAGCTCAAACGAGCGTACATATCATTGAAGCGTTGATGTATTTTGTCTTTTCTATCATGTAATGTATGTATATGTACCATCTGTATATAAAGCGCATGTGAATCTTTCCACCAACGTATGAAAGCACCTCCGGGGATGCCTGCCAAACGAGAAGGGCCATGGTTGAGAGCCCTAAATTCTAGGCCTCGAGGTTGAGACGCTCAAGAAGATCATCCAACTTCTCCAGAAGAATCTCATAGTTCATGGCATCTTCTGAAAATTCATCCACAACAAGCGCGCCGTCTAAAGCTCGGATCTCAGGTCCATTCTCTTGGGGCTGTTGGGATTGATGGTCTGAAGTCTCCTTAGAGACTTCTAGGGCAGCCACACCCTCGGCAAGTTTTGTATCATCATCTTGCTCTTCCTCTGCCTCGCTGTCGTCCGACTGTTCACCTTCCTCCATCATCTCATCGAGACCCGCCTCGTCGAATCGCAGTCTAAAGCGCTCGCCAAGGTAGAATCTGATATCATCCAGCATTTCAATAGAATCGGTCTCCTGTCTCGCTTTGATACGAGACGCTGATTCCTGAATCAGCTCGGCGAACTCGGGGGTATCTATATGGGCCTCGAGGCGATATGCCAGATAACGGGCGGCGAATTCTTCCAGTCGCTGCACTCGTGTCAACCATGCAGCCTTGACAATCGAGTAAATGTCAATGTCATCTTCGTCTGTTGTGCCGCGAGTCTTTGCAGCCTCCGCTTGGGACATTCCGGCACTACCGAGGGTACTGATGACCACTGCTGCTTTTGTTTTCAGTTTCTCAATGAACAGCATATCTGCCGCGAACAGAACGTCGACAGCAATTTCTAAGGGGAAATCGGCTCTTTCGGTATACAAGAACGTCAGGATAATTTCCAGAACTTCCGGTGAGCAGTCAACATCGATAATCGTGAGTTGATCCTTGACATATGCTTCGCGGAAGGTGGATGAGAACATAGTGTGGAAGAACTCGGAGCGCAAAAGCATTGCTCGGTGGCATGGGAAGATGGTGGATTTTGGTGCTTCGGTAGGCGCACCGTTGCTTGCAATGTCTTCTTCTTCTTCGGGGAGTTCATCCGCCCGCAGAAGGACATCAGCGAAGATTGGATTGATCCGGTTCCATTGAACGTCGTTCACCTTTGAGGTCTCTACCACGATTCTGTTGCCCAGGACATTCTTCTGGAACCATTGATCCATCTGGTCTCGGCCCTTGGAGATCTCGTCATTCCTTCGCTGCCGAGCACGCCTTCTATCTCCACTTTCAAGGATGCTTTCCGGAAGACGAGGAATATCGAGGTACTTGGAGATTCTATCCACTCCGGCAAAGGTTTCGGATTCCGTAAATCCTGTGCCCGGTCCACTCCTCAAGTCTCGAGGGGCTTCTCCCAGGTAGAGATATTTGATTGCAGCACCGAATGCTTCTGGTGGAATAGTATTGGGGAGCTTCCATGTTGCAGATTCCGGTGCCGCTGCCAGTTTGGCAAGGAAATATGGGGACCGGGCCGCGAGTATAAATTTATGGAGATGGAGCGATTGTTCGGATGCCGTCACCACAATGTCGGCGGTTACTGGTGTTTCTCGGACCCAAAGAGACGTTATGTGGGCAGCGAGTGGCTGCAAAGGGTCTGTGGATTTGGAGTAATCATATTCGAGCAGGAGGTTTCGAATGCGGTCATTTAAAGCATTATAGAGACATCTAGCAAGCTCCGTGATTAGCTCAACCTGTAGACTGGCTGAATAATAGTGGACATCCAATATACCTTTCTCCCTGGAAAGTGTCTCGCTCACACAGCGCACCAGACTCCAGCAACAGCTGGGCGGTTTCATAATGGCCACACAGACTCGCCTTTGGCCCGGGTATCGGTTATTATATATGTTGTGGTAGGACTTGGCACACTGGGATTATATTTTGTACTCACTAGGATCAATGGCGTGTAATCATAAGGATCACGGGCATTGACATTTACGCCTTCAGAGATTTTCTCTTGACAGACCTTCAAATCGCCCTGACGACATGCATTGCATAGTTCCCGAAACGGCTCACTGAGATCCAGGGGATTGTCATCCTTGATTGTGCCCTCTTTGATTAGTTTCTTTTCCTCGACCAAGCTGATTTCCAGCTGGTCCTTCCGCAGAACTGTTGGTTCATCCGCCATCATGCAGGTTGCCGACAGCTTAAAGTGGGATACAAACGGCGGGGAGGTAAGGGCTTCTTATCGATAAGAGTCATGTGATTCAAGGTCCGGGGAGTCCATGAAGTATCGGCTCTGTACAGCATTGGACCTGTAGATAGATGGAGTGGGTAGTAAGTAACCTGCTGAGATCATTGAACGGTCCTGTACCTGGCTAGACTAGCAATTGATAAATTAAAGAAAAGCAATAAGAAATCAAAAGTTGGTAAACGTCATGCAATGTTCTGCCACTCGACTATGGGCACCGCCTGCTATGCGGAGTAAAGCGCCATAATCGTGGTTGCATAGCAACGAGTCGGGCCAAACACCCATCGTCAATTCCATTCATATGGCCTACTTTTCCCTTAAATCTTTAAATCTCCAATCCTCCTATTCTCCGCTCCCATACTAACCACAGGTCATTGTCCCTTCAACTCGTTCATGCATCATTGACTCTTCTGCTTTGTCTCTTCCTGTCCACCTTACACTCTGTAGCCATGGCGATTGCTTTGGCTGAGGCCGACAAGTATGAGATCTTAGACAAGATTGGTATGTTCACATTGTGCCTCTGTGTCTACTAAAACATGATACTAATATTCATCTTTACTCACAGGCTGCGGTTCCTTTGGAATCATTCGGAAAGTCAAGCGCAAGACCGATGGTTTCGTGAGTGTCGTTGTGGTGTTCGAGGGCTACCTCATACTAACCCTACATGAAATAGATCCTATGTCGCAAGGAAATCAACTACATCAAGATGTCCCAAAAGGAACGCGAACAACTTACCGCCGAGTTCAACATCCTCAGTTCCCTTCGTCACCCGAATATTGTCGCATACTACCATCGAGAGCACCTTAAGGCAAGCCAAGATCTGTATCTGTACATGGAGTATTGCGGTGGTGGTGATCTGGGTATGGTTATCAAGAACCTCAAGAAAGCCAACAAGTATGCCGAAGAGGAGTTTGTTTGGCGCATTCTCTCTCAGCTGATCACTGCTTTGTTCCGGTGTCACTATGGTTCGGATCCAGCTGAGGTTGGTTCAAACATTTTGGGCCCAGCCCCCAAGGCCTCTGGCCTGAAGGGCAAGCAGGGGCAAGTCACCATCCTACACCGAGACTTGAAGCCCGAGAACATTTTCCTCGGCAGCGACAACACCGTCAAGCTTGGCGATTTCGGTCTTTCCAAGCAGATGCAGTCCCATGACTTTGCCTCCACCTACGTTGGTACTCCATTCTACATGTCGCCTGAGATCTGCGCTGCCGAAAAGTACACCTTGCGCTCCGATATTTGGGCGGTCGGCTGTATCATGTATGAATTGTGCCAAAAAGAGCCCCCCTTCAATGCTCGCACCCACATTCAGCTAGTTCAGAAGATCCGCGAGGGAAAATTTGCCCCCTTGCCTGATTATTATTCGCCTGAACTCAAGAACGTTATCGGCAGCTGCCTGCGCGTCAATCCCGATCACCGCCCTGATACCGCCAGCCTGATCAATCTTCCTATTATTCGCCTAATGCGCAAGGAGAAGGAGGTCGTCGATCTCGGCAAGACCCTCCGCCGACGCGAGGAGGTTGCGGTCCAAAAGGTTCGCGAAATGGAACAATCCTTGGCCAAGCGGGAGACCGAAAAAGCGCATGTCCGCGCAGAGGTTGAAAATACCGTTCGAAGGGAGTGGGAGGTCAAGGCTCGCTTGGAAATTGATCGTCAAGTCACGTCTGAGCTTGATCGACTGCGCAAGCGCTTTGAGTCCGAGGTTGGAGAGCGAGTTGCCATTGAGGTTAAGAAATACAAGAACAGCACCAGCGCAACCAACAACTCTCGGGACGATGTGTTCCGCACCAGCACACAGGGTTCCAACTCTTCTCGCTCCAGCAACCAGGGATGGCGATCATCCAAGTCCTCTGCGAACATGACCGATGATAGTGACAGCACCCCATCGTCAACCGATGTCAGCCAGGTTTCACTTGGGTCTCCTCCCTCAAACAAGCGGAAGCAACCCAAGAAAGAGAATCGTACTCCTTTCTGTCGCTCAAAGACAGTTGTGGACTCACCTGTAGATGTGCAGATGGCAGAGCCTTCCCCTATCTCCATTGCCTCGCTCTCACTCTCCCCGCGTCGTACTTCCGCCCAAGGTGGTGCTCGCAACATTTTTGCAGAGGCTGAGCGTAACAAGGCCAAGTGGGAGCCAACTCTGGCTTATTCTGATGACGAGGACGATACACCCGATTTGCCCTCGCCTACCCGTCCCAAGGTGAAGCCTGATCCATTGAAGGCACCTCGCCGTCCCCTCCTGCGTCAAAACACTGCCGCTTTCATGCAAAAGCTCAGTTCGCAGCCTTCCCTGTTCCCTTCCGGCGGTACCCGTCTTCCTCAATCTACTAGCCAGTCTGGTCCTCAACCTGAGGAGCACAGCATGAGTGAAGGCCGAGCCAAGTCTCCTCACCGTCGCCTCACCAAAATTCCTTCTTCGGCAAACCTTGCTGCCGATGCCGGTGGCTCGCCAACCCGCAAGAGCGGTTCCAAGCAGCAATCCCCAACCAAGGCCACTGGTGGTGGCGAGGAGATGTTCAAGGCTGTTATGCAACGCAACCTTGGCGGCCGAACCCTGGTTGAACTGGCTCAAGCACGAGCTGGTGGCCGCTCAATGGACGAGGTCAAGCGCTGCGCCAGCGATTCTCGTGCCAATGGCCCTTCTATGGGCATGAAGTGTTCTGACCGTGAGCCTCCTGCCATTTGGAACCCTGAAATGGATGATATGCCTAGCCCTTTCCTTGCCCGGGGCAAAAAGGTTATTCGCAATCTGCGTTAATCTTTTGGTTTTCTTCTACTCCCGACTACAGCTTCGATGTTATTTTATGTTTCTGGTGTTATGGATCTTTGGTGTGATTGGAGTTGGGCTTTGGTTGGAGCCCTGTTTTGATATGAATCTGGTCCCGGTTTCTGCGAGACCTTTGCTTTTCTCTTCTTGAGCATACTTCCTTCTTATGTCGCGGAGTTGGCCTCTAATTGTGTTTTCGGTGCATACTTGCTACGCAAGACTCGGAGTTTGATACACCAGCCCTCTGGCTTTGCCTTCGTTGGCTACATCGCCGACCCGACTTGACTCTTTTCCTATTTCTTTTGTTGTTACGCCCTTATGCCCTTTCCTTCAATGAAGGCAAATGATTGGTTTCTTTGTACATTTATTTGCATCAGCCATGCACCTACTGCTGACTTCTGTCACTCCGCTTTTTCGGACGGTTAATCACTTGCGCATTGTACCTCGTGCCTTCGGCAAATATGCCTGTTGCTATGTTTGATAAATCTTTGCTCTTCCCTTACATTTTTGTAGGAACTGTAGTAGAAACTGTAGTACGGAGTAGAAAACATTTCCAGGGAATATTCCAAAGCTACTTAAGTAATCTTACAAATGGGTTGTAGCTCGTTTATATTGTAATTTTCTAATGGAGAGGTGCATAATGTAGGGGATTACATAGTAAATACAGATACTACAGGAGGACTTCGATGAAGTCTGTATAGCTTCAGGGTGAACTTTAGAACATACAATACTTAAGTAGCGGACAGAAAGTCGGTAAAATCAGACCAAAACCAGGCATTAGAGGTGTCATATTATCCAAAGGGGTGTCGATGTAAAAATCCCCATATTTTTATAGGATAAGTCTTCGTTTCAAGCTGTGCAGAACCAATGACTAGGCCCATGCCTGCTCATCCTCAACTTCTTCCACCTGAACAGACCGGAGCTCCTTGTTAAATCGCTCCTCTTCCTCTTCTAATGACTGTTCACCAGCGCGGACCTCCGGACCAGCATTATAGCCAGCTTTTTCAAGTCTGTCCATCTCCTCTGGTTCCAGCAATTTCCCTTGCCCCCTAATCGACTGCTGTTTCATCCTGACCGCAGCCGGAATGAACTTATTCGTAGCCTCCTGTCGTAGATCCCGAATCTCAGGCTTCGCCTCGTAAACCGTCTTAGCCTCCACAACAGGCGTTGGCCGCGATGGTAGCGGATGAGGTCCACGCCCCTCCGCCGGTCCCTGTCCCCGTCCCTGCCTCCGGTTCTGCGGAATAGGCGGTGGCGTATCGCGCGGCATGGGTATGCGTCGCACATCCTCGTCTGTGTCGCTACTTTCACTATCGCGAGGCATCCGTGTTTCATCTGAGCCTCGTTGCCGTTTCCCCAACACGCCCTCGCCACCCCACCTGCCCTGACCTTGACCCTGATCCTGGCCGGACCCTCTCTGGCTGAAACGGGGAGCTTTTTCGCCAAGAGCTTCGCGCGCCTTCAACACGCCACGGAGATCCTTCTCGAGCGCTTCGAGAATCTCCTTATCGCGCGGCCGAAGCTTTTGGCCCCCTTCCTCCACTGCTTTCAAGTCATTGATCTGGCGCTGAATGCGTTCTGGGTTGCGGCGAGCGAGTTTTTCGTTTCGTCGCGCTTGTGCTTCGGCTTTGCCTTTCTTCAATTCTTTTTGTTTGTCTTGTTTCCGCTGTGCTGCGGCTGGGTTGACGGAGCGCTCTTTGTCCTTGGCCATGGTGTTGTATTCGTAGGTCTGGAGTTATGCGGGAGCTAGGCGCGGAACCGGATGCGCGGAAAAGTACTGTCGAATCAATTGCTCGGATGGCAGGTTGGGTAGCTGTACAAAGGTCTGGGCTTGCACGTGAAAGGGAGTAGGTCGAAACAAAAGTGTCGGGCTGTTGGGTTGAGACAGGGCAATTGGGTAGAATTGAGGTTGAAGTTGAACTTTAGAAATTTGGCGGAGTGGAGATGAGTACCATGGTCCATGGTACACTTGTATACTTCCGACTTTTATACTCTTCTCTTCTCTTAAGTATATACTCTTCGATACTGATATTGTTACTTTCTACTTATGTATATAATTATCCACTTAGTACTCTCGCTACTAGAGCTACTATCCTTTTCTCTCACTGTAACCGAGACGCAGAGCCTCTCCATCCTCATCGAGAGAGCTGCAGCAAGCATTAGCTTGACCCGCCCAATATATACAAAAGAGCTGCTGGAATAGTCATAAGCCTGGGCAGAAGAATCCAAAAGCTCAGGTACCTGATATTGCTTTTCCCCTTAAGAAAAATACCACAAAATCAAGAAACCACTGAATGTCACATCTAAAAGCCCCTCTTTATGGAGGTCCGAGGTATCTTCTTTCCGCCTGAACCTGCGCTCTAAACCAATATAAATCAAGAAACCAACAAGCCAACAAGCCAACAAGGTCGTAGGGTATCACTAAATACTCTTTTCGAGCCGCGCGCTGCAGGTGCCGCCAAAGTTCCAGCGGCTCACACCTACTTTCTCCGCCTCTCTTCCCTTTTATTTCTCCTCAAGGTCTCTCCCCTCTTCAACCGTCATCGCATTTCCCTACTGCGCAAAGTCTCTCCTCTTTCGCATCCTCCATCATGACCTGTGGTCCGTTCAGTCTCACATCGAGTTTGATCGGCGCTTCATAGATTGTCGCGGTCGGAGCATGTCTCTGCCGGGACCAAATGTCCGCGACCTCCATTCCCGACACTTCGCTTGGCCTTACCTCCGCCGAGATCCAGATCCTCCGACAGCAGCAGCAGATTGCCCTGCAGGGCGGCCACGCCGGCAATGGAGTGGCCCGGGGCAGAGGCGCCGGGAGAACGAGCAACTCCAGCTCGCGCGCCACCAGTGCCGCCAGCAGCCAGGGCCGTCTGCTGCTGGATCCGATGAGTCTGCGCGCACTCTCACACCAACTCGATGGCCTGCAAGCACAAATCGGCCACCGCATCGAATATGTACGTTTGCCCACCCGCACTTGACTACCCGCAATATCCATATCAAGACGTCCCCATGTCCCGATTGCTGACTTCAAACGCCCTCTAGCTCGAAGATCAAATGCAACGCTCCATCGCAAATACTTACGACCGTGCGGGAAACGTCATTCGCAATGCCGATGCCGAAATTGCCCGCACCCGTGAGATCTTGGCTTCCATCGACGATTTGGATAATGAATTGGCCAAGATTGCGCATATCCGTGATATCGTCAAGGGATTTCGCGGCAGAATCGAGAATTTGGATCACCGTATTGACCAGAGTTCTCGTCGCAGGCGATAAAACCGTCCCATATACTCTGTACCCCCTTCTTATAGTACCCTCCCCGACCCACTTCCTCAACATCCCGAAAGACCGTGCAATTGCACAATCGCCTTCAATATCTTCAATCCTTCCCACTCACGACTGCTGGATGGTCACATCGAAATATCTAACCTCACTATATGACCCGCCACCTCAACCCTCAAAACCCAAATGATCAAAGCCGACAGAACCAACAAAAAAAGAAACAAAAAACTATATACCGAAATTGTCCTCACGGACTCCCTCCTTGAACGCGTGCTAGTCACCCTGTTCATATACGTACTATTTTTCTCTCCTGTGTTATTTGCTTTACGAAACAATTGGCGGAAAGAGCTGCACGCCTCGCGGCACTATGGTCTGACTCGAAGCCAGAACCATTGAGCGAGCATTCGCCTGAAAGAATTGCAGTATATTGATTGACGCCGGAATTGACCCGGCGAACGCTGACGCATTTCCTTCCTATCCGATTTTGGAATTCATGAGAATTAATGACTGCCACGAAGATCTTTAATGTGTCTCCGAGTGCCTAAGCACCGCCGATGTGTCTTGTTTGATTTGGTCTTTCAACTGTATTCCCTTGTTTCGATTCCCCTCTCTGCATGCTGTGTGTACATTGCTCTGAGCTTCTGTCTGTGGTGATTTTGGCCTATGTTCATCATGATGAACGTGGAAGGCCTGCAGCATAATTTCAACACCACTTCAATCTAACTTTATATTTCCTTGTCTTCACACTCTGGGCTTGGGTTGATAAGCATGTGTCAGAATGTAAGCTGGTGTTTGACGGCCGGGCTGTAGGATGACTGCCCAAACTTCCGAGCTTTAGCAAGCCCATAATTTGAGACAATATGTAACATCCAGCGTGAAGCCTGGCCTGTGGGGTTTGTGGAGGGACCGTATTCCAGGCTGGACCTTGATGACCCCCAGACAGGGTATCATCCCAGAACCACTGTGCTGTTGCACGATCACGAGACGTTGCGAGGGGGTTTGAACCAGAGTCAGGTTCGTTGACAAATGTGGTGTCCAGGGTTGTGCTGGAGCATGAGCCTGGCTAATCAGACACCTGATGCAGGAATGGAGGAGTCCTCCAGCAGCGATGCAGCCTCCTTCTCCTTGCGTCGTTGACCAAGCTTTTTCGAACGTCTCTCAGTCTGTGGGAAGCGTTTCTCGGCTCCACAGGAGAAGCACCGAACAATCAACACATCTGCCCATGGTTTCTTGCCACCACGGCTTTCATTCCTGATATCGTGCGAGCAGGTAACTCCTGGAGTCAGGAGTGTTGCACAGCGCTTGCATAGAGATCGTTTCAATGTGACTGGCAGTCGAATTTGGGTTTTCATCGCTACCTCACGCAGGTGTGACACACATGTTCTGGAGAGACTGGCCAGTGGCCCTTCGCTTTTGCTTTGACTGCCTGGGGCTGTGACCTGCTTTATGGTTGACTGATCTTCAGCAAAAGTGGCATCTGCTTGAACTTGCACTGGCTGTGTGTGGTGAGGTCCATGAGATGCTTGGGACAGCTTCTGGCTCTGTTGCTCTGTGGATTTGCCCTGTAGATATATTGCAGCTTGGTGTAGATAATCAAGTCGTGCCCGGATGTGGCTCTGGGTATTCTTGTTATCCTTCTTGCCAGGCTTCTTTTCCCCTGTTGCTTTGGGCATATTGAGTAGGTAGTATCAGCCAGAAGACTGATTGTGTAATGCACCAAGGTGTGAACAAGATATTGCCCAATGTACGCGTGCAAGATACATTTTCTGTCCGACTTATAACACACCGCCTTCCAGTTATAGAAGTTAGCATCACCACACCGCCTATCTTTTCCTATCACGTACTAAGCCAAAAGCAGTAACCCACGTGACTAGCTCACCCTAAGGTTCGTTCCCATCCCTAGCCGCCTATCGACGACCTCCCTGCACCTTTGTCCGTCAACTCGACCTGTCACATTCCCACGGTCCCGTTTCATCCATTGAATTATTTCTTTCCCTTCATCCCTGATAACATCATACTCAACACTTTCTTCATCTCTTTTGCAGAGTCCGTCAAATCACGCCGTCATGTCTAACGAAGAAGATCTCATCGACTACTCCGACGAGGAGCTGCAGACCACAACAGCCCCGGCTACTACTGCTGCGCCTGCTGCCACAAATGGCGATGCCGACAAGGAAGGTGACCTGACTGTCACCGGTGGCCGCCCCGACAAGAAGGGCAGCTACGTCGGTATCCACTCCACCGGCTTCCGTGATTTCCTGCTGAAGGGTGAACTTCTGCGCGCCATTACCGACTGCGGCTTCGAACATCCATCGGAGGGTTAGTCTAATCATTATTCCCACAAGCGTTCCTCCATTATTCCAAGCTCCAACGTCCGTCCATCCTCGCGGGAAGATTCTTCTGTCGGTTCCTGGCAACCAGTCGCGTTTCAAATCTGCAGACGACATGGGGACCATGGCTCCTGAAACAAAGAGCATTATATGGCCTCAACAATCTTTAAAGACCTTGGTGCCATGACGCGTTTTCGCAAAGCCCAAGCTTCGGCTGCCCAGCACGCATCTTTTGGTGATGACTGGCGCATTCAGTGAAAGATAGATTTCTATCGCTTTTACCCCCCATCTAAAGACCTTCATCATGTCGTCTGCAGAATGAGATGTTCACAAACGAATATGGCCTCCAATTGCCCTTGACATACGTCATTGTGGCTCGATGGAAGCGGGGGGAGATGACTGCCCCGACATTGATTTGGCGCTGTCGGGGGATGGACGGACATTGCGAGACGGATCGTTTTTTTGCTTTATCTTTCATCGAACACAATCTAACATCGGTCTCGCCTCTCAACAGTTCAGCAAGTTTGCATTCCGACTGCCATTCTGAACGTCGATGTTCTTTGCCAGGCCAAGTCCGGTCTCGGTAAGACTGCTGTCTTCGTCCTCACCACCCTCCACCAGCTGGAGCCCGTTGCTGGCGAGTGCCAAATCCTCGTCATGTGCCACACCCGTGAGCTTGCATACCAGATCAAGAACGAATACGCCCGCTTCTCCAAGTACCTTCCCGACGTCAAGACCGCTGTCTTCTACGGAGGTACCCCTATCCAGAAGGATGTCGAGATTCTCTCCAACAAGGAGACCTACCCTAACATCGTGGTTGCCACTCCTGGTCGTCTGAACGCCCTCGTTCGCGACAAGAAGCTCTCCCTGCGCAATGTCAAGGCCTTTGTTCTCGACGAGTGTGACAAGATGCTTGACCAGATTGGTATGTATATCCTAACCCCAGGACCACCAGCTCATCTCACTGACTTCTCCATAAGACATGCGCCGCGACGTTCAGGAAATCTTCCGTGCCACCCCGGCCGATAAGCAGGTTATGATGTTCAGCGCCACCCTCTCCCAGGAGATCCGCCCCATCTGCAAGAAGTTCATGCGCAACCCACTCGAGGTCTATGTTGACGACGATACCAAGCTTACCCTCCACGGTTTGCAGCAGTACTACATCAAGCTGGACGAGAAGGAGAAGAACCGTAAGCTCAACGAGCTCCTGGACAACCTCGAGTTCAACCAGGTTATCATCTTCGTCAAGAGCACCCAGCGCGCCAACGAGCTCGACAAGCTGCTCCGCGAGTGCAATTTCCCCAGTATTGCTGTCCACTCCGGTGTCAGCCAGGAGGAGCGGTACGTTTATTGAGCATCTTTACCTGCATGATCGACCTGCTGACTTGATTTTAGTATCAAACGCTACAAAGAGTTCAAGGAATTCAACAAGCGTATCTGTGTCGCCACTGATGTCTTCGGACGTGGTATCGATATTGAGCGCATCAACCTTGCCATCAACTACGATCTCCCTGCCGACGCTGATTCCTACCTGCACCGTGTCGGTCGTGCCGGCCGTTTCGGTACCAAGGGTCTTTCCATCTCCTTCGTGAGCAACGAGGATGACGAGAAGGTCCTCAAGGAGATTGAGAAGCGTTTCGAGGTTGCCCTTCCGTATGTACCCTCTACCGTCACCCTCACTTAACAGCAGGCTAACCAACTCTTTTAGTGAGTACCCCGAGGCTGGTGTCGATTCCACCACCTACATGGCTTAGACGTGCCTCCGTGAAAACTCCAAATATTTCCTTTTCTTTTGCTTTTCCGATATTACAGGCGCAATAGCTCTGGGTTTGATGTTTTCTGCGCTGGGCGCTTCCACTGCCTTCGTGGTTTGAGGCCCAAGGTCTCCATGTAACTGAAAACAGCAATGGAACCAAGAATGGGGTTAGCCCACCAACTTGTGCCTCGTATCCCTGACCACATCTTGTGGATAGCAAACCAAGTATTCTAGAACCCAGCTGAAAGAAGATCTGACAACATGCATCTGCAGTCTCAGACTCAAACGAAGACCCTGCCAAGTTCCCGATCCAGCGGGAGTGGATCAAGCGTATCCATCAAATCTCCGGATCGCTCTGGGGGTTCGCCATATCTGCGGGTTCCAGCTTACTAGTTCGAGACATACATATCGTAGCTGGTCAATCTGACTTGCGTGCCTGGACCGGATCCCGCTTTTCTGCATGCCCCTGTTATCCTAGGCGTTGACTGGTCGGATGTAAACTGTACCTTGTAGCATGCAGGATACACTCAAAGACTATTGAAAACCCCATTGAAAACCCCACTGGCTGAAAAACAACAAAACATCTGGACATGTATGGTTTTTGGGTTCAGCTGTCTCAACTGTTGAAGACTAATTTTAATAGTCAATTTCCCATGCATGCAGGGTGACAGCTGTCAAGCAACGCACACGGCAAGGAAATTAAGATATGCCACACCTTTAGAAATGCCAATCACACAGGTGGTTAATAGAGTTGCGAACTGACAATCTCCCGGTTGCCCAACGTTTTAACGGTATTAGTATTCACTAGTATTCTCCGGGGGCCGAGTCTCCTCTTTTCAACGGAGCATTAAAACATTCCACGTCCGATGAGACATAGAGCATAACTCGCATAACAACCTCGGATTATACTTACTTCTCAAGTTGTGTACGAGTACAAACTGAAACTAGTATATATGCCAAGGACTTCCAAGAAAATAAGAGCATTCTGTTTGAGGCGAAAAGTCAAAGCCGAAGAAAAAAAAAATGTGGCTTAGTTCATACACTAGTGTGGCAGATGGAATTGGGTAGCGCATACAAATCAAGGCAGAGAGAGGCTAGTTCGTAGCAAACCCTGTCTCGGATTTTTTAGTTGCCAAGTTATGCCCAGTGGCTTCAGTGGCTTCAGTGGAATCGTATGCGAGTACGAGACTTTTGTTCCGGGGTTCGCCGTGGATTCTATTTGCTTTATCGAGTTTGCACGACAGAGGACAAGTACTTTGTACTTTGTACTTCTGACTTGGGCCTTAGTGTGAGGCTATATTAAATCATGATAGGCCAATGGCTCGGGGGCCAATTGGACTCCTTTTTTTTTATTATTTCCACCCGCGGCGTTCCGAGCGAGCTTTGACTAGTATTAGTAGTTAGTTATGTTGGGGCGAGATTAAGTGGTTTCAGTGGGACGAGGCTTGCAGACTAATCTTGCCAGTTGATGACATCTGTGGCATATTGCAAACAAGTATATTCGTACGAGTACGGAGGACATGGTCTGATATTGACGATCTGTTGTTTCCGGTCTCCGCAAGCGTGGTCAAGTTGAATACCCTAACTACGAGTAGTTTGTATTTGGTTCCACAAGTAGTACATCATGCGGTCTCCACTGCTTAACGACTTCGACCTCAGGCTCAAGTGTCATCTTCAATTCACTCGGAACCTGACGAACAGCATTCCAGAACCTATTTTTATACTATCAGATTGAAAATAATCCCCGATCGCAGTAATCCCTAGAAGCTGCAAACATCCCGCCGATCACGGTATGCTGGGATGAACACCGCCTCCCCCTTCCAAGGTATTCCAGCCGATCCCGAACATCCCTTGAAATCTGCACAAACCAGGTTTCGCGATACCCCGTACAGACGTCAGGGAAATAAAGTTCGTTAACTCTCGCCATGTCCACATTGAGATGGGGTAGAGGATGGAGTACGGACTGCTCCGTCCGCACAGAGGACGGACCTGTTCGTCTCAGACGTGGAACTGGGACTGGAACTGCATTCCAAGGCTTGGAATGTCGAGTGAAGAACCCCTCTTATCGTTGCAGGTTCCTGACAGTCCTGTAGAGATCGGTCCAATTGTCAATTTACTTATGACCAGGGATATTCCAGGTACCTGTGAACGACAGGCGATCCAGGTACCGGTACTTGGATGCTGTGTCTCGCGAGCGCAAACCTAAAGTATACTCTGACTCCAGGGGGAGAGTATCCCATGTCTATGTCTTGAGCAGATAGAGTATTCGTACTGCGTACGAGTACCTTTATATATGCTCACGGGTATAGGAATAAAGTATCATTGGCAGCACGAGGGCTGATGTAAAGTTTGTATAGAGCTAATGCGAGTTGACAGGTACCTCAGCACTGTGGGTTCGGAGTGGATGTGGGTGACGGAGTGCAGAGACGCGGCCATAGTTAAGTACTGAGTACATACGCGTCCTGATGAGATACGCGAAGGCATTACTCGTACGGAGTGAGTACTCGTAGATGGTAAGTAGTTCGTGATATAGTGTTATGCGTGTTCAAGTAGCTAAGTAAGTAGCAACTGGAAGAATCGAAAGACTAGAGCAGAGCCTAGAAGGCGAAGCTTGCCGATCTTTGTGGACCTGAAGTTTGTGATCCATACATTTTTCAAAATTACTTTAGGTACTTAATTACCGGTATTTGGCTGGTGTATCGGTCTATTTATAGTTGAATATAGCAATAATTAAGTATGAGTACTGATGGCTTTCTCTGCATAGACACTATTCTAAAGCTGTAGATGCTATGGGGAAAGTAGGTAATTATATAGTCTTAAGCATCAATTCAAAAAACAGCACAGCTCGAGAGTCTACAGTATATTACCGAGTATCCATCGGATCCATCAAGATCAGATCAATGGATCCCGAGTATCAAATAGATTTGGTCAAGTCCACTACAGACTTGAGTACGGAGTCCCCTACTGTACAGTAAACTGTACAGTTAACTGTTCGACTGTGCGTAGACACTGCATAATCGTAACGAACAGATCAGATCAAAAGCAAATAACCGCATCCGTTGCTTATCGCCCGTTTCCGGATTGAGGGGATCCAGAAGTATCAAGGAGAGAAAAAAATAATAGTTCTCTTCACACTCACTCTCTCTTTTTTTTTTCTTTCTCTTTTCCCTTTCCCTTTCCGTTCTAATATATTTTCTTAAAACGTGAAGAAAACGGAAGTCAGAATACAACGTGGAGAGCCCCCCTCTCTCCCGTTCTAAACTTCCGAATCCCATTCTTTCCTCTCCTTCCTTTTTTTTTCTTCCTACCATCACTCCTTCTCTCACCCTTTCATCCTCGTCTCGGATCATTGTGGGAAGAAAAGTCAGATATAGGGTGTCTCGCCTCGACACTTGCCTGGCATTGTTTCGTTCCTTCCAGATTTGAAAATCATGGCACCTCCTCCCCGTTTGCGCATCCTCTCCGGTAAGTTCTCTTTCACTGCAATACAATGGCCCGACTAACCAAAGTCTGTGCAGTGGGTGGCAATGCGATCTCTGCCTTTCTCTCATGGCGACTGCAGGCGACCACCTCCTGCGATGTGACCCTGGTCTGGAAATCCGGCTTCGACTCAGTGGCCCAATATGGTGTTTCATTCAAGTAGGCCTCCTTTTTTCTCCAGAGGGTATCTTGGGCACAGCTAATCCTCCCCCAGATCCAAAGCCTTCGGCAATGAACGATTTAAACCCCGACATGGTATGAACTTTCGATTTTGGGCTGTTGGGCCCCCCGGCTGACTTCTCCGTTCCTCTAGTTGTTCGTGCTCCGGAAGAAGCCTCGTCTCGCGAAAACGCATACGACTATGTCATCCTCTGTGTAAAAGCCCTGCCCGATGTCTACGACCTGGCCTCCGTGATCGAATCCGTGGTCACCCCTCAACACACCTGTATCCTCGTCAACACCACCAATACCCTCGGAATTGAAGCCCATCTGGAGCAAAGATACCCAACCAATGTCATTCTCTCACTCGTTTCCAACGTGGAAATTTCTCAAACCGGCCCCAGCGAATTCGAGCATCTAAGCTCGAGCGAAATCCACGTGGGCGCAACCAACAAATCTTCCTCCATCCCTACATCCATCCAGAACGACATGGCAGCGGCGTTAGCAATGACTCTGAACTCCGGTCAGGTCGATTGCAAGGTTTCGGAGAATATCAGACAGGAGCAGTTTGAGCGAATGATTGGGTGAGTCTTGGTCCATTTACACGATATTGGAGGTTCGCCTTTGCTAACGAAGTCGCAGCCCCATTGCATTCCACCCCGCCAGCGTCGTGTTCGAAGCCTCAAACCACACACAACTCCTAGAAAAGACCGGTGTCCGTCAATTAGTGACGGGAATTATCGACGAGCTGGTGGAACTCGCCACATCGCTGGGCTGCTCATTCCCCAGCGATTTCCGTGAAAAGACCATCGAAAAAATGACTGCTTTGGACGCACCCACTACAATGTACCAGGACTTCCAGGCCCGGCGCCCCATGGAAGTGGAGACGTTCTTGGGATCTCCGGTCAAGTTGGCAATCGAGTCCAACGTTCGCGTTCCCCGAATCGAGACAATGTACGCATTGATGCACCACGCCAATATCGTGAATCAGAACAAGCCCCGCCAGGAATCCCCACCTTCCTCTGTGATCGGCCAACCGCCTCCCCGCATGTCCTCCGCTCCTTCACAGCGACCTATGATGAACGGCGGTCCTCCTGGGCCCCCGGGCCCTCCATCCATGCGAGGAGGCCGAACTCCCTCTGGGATGAGCATGCCCCCGCCACGACGAGGCCCACCTCCCGGTATGATGCCTAGAGGCCCCGGACCGATGCCGATGCCCGCCAATCGGGTCCCGCGCGACACATCATTGGAAGGACTCGAGGAATTCAGCCACATGGTAGTATACGATGGAGAGGGAGAGCCTACTATGCCTCAGCAGAATGGCAACGGCCACCCTGAGTCAGGGCCGGGCCCTGCGTCCGACCTGGCCCTCCGCGAGCGAGAGCTAGCCCTTCGTCAACGTGAATTGCAGCTTCGTGAACAGGAGATGGGCATGCGCCGTGGACCCCCTGGACCCCCTGGCCCAGGACGTCGTGGCCCCTTCCGACCCGGTCCAGGCCCAGGTCACGCCTCTGGTCCTTCATTCGACGAAGAAGACGAGGATTACTTCGACCCTATGGATAGCATGGCCATTCCACACATCGACCCCGACAGTGTTGATATGATGAGCATGACTTCTCGCCGAGGACGCAAGGGTCCTAGTCAAAGCCAGCTCCGCAAGAACCCCGAATTCTCAGTGACGGCTCCAGGGCCAGGCGGTAGCCGGCCCCCGTCGTCAGCGTCAGCCTTTGGTCGTTACTTCGGTCGGAAACGTGCGAGCGATCGCGTGATGCAAGAAATCCCCGGTCTCCACGATTCACTCATGGATAACCCGATGATGAGCTACTCTTCTAACAGATATGGTGCTGTTGACCGAAACCAGATGGCTGCGGATTCCCGAGCCAACTCATTAACGGCAAGCCATATGGGGGACTACCCACCTCGACCCTTCCCAACGAGTAGGCGAAACAGCCAATCCCCCGCGACGCCCTTCGGCGGACCCCATGGACCTCCTGGCCCCGGTGGCCCCCGCATGGGTCGCCCTCCCACTGCACATGATCAAAACCTTGGACCCCCTGGTGTACCTCACAATGGGCAGCCTTCGCCGCCCGGAAACATGCGCACGCCAGTACCGCGGTATCCTCAAGGACCTGGAAACGCGGTAGGGCCACAGCAAGTTGAGCAACACTATGGGGTGAGCAATTTCCCGGCCAAAGGCCCCCCTAGAAATCAGAATCTGACCGGTAGTGGGAGCGCCAGCGCGGGGAGCGGTGATAGTGGAGCCAGTGCCAATCTTGATTCCGAACCCTCATCTCACAGCAGCCAGATCAGCCTGGGCAACCAAGGAGTCGCGGCCCCCGTTCGCTAAAGAACGTGCCTCCTCGACTTTCCTTGGCTTCTCCGACTGACTGACCGGCATTTTCCATGATTGAGTTTTTCACTCTCTCGGCGTTGCATTCTTCTTCGGCCTCGGACCATTGCTGTCCCCCCGAAACTGGTCATGCTTGGACCGGTTTTTTTTTTGCATCATGGCGTGTCATTCTACTGGGACGTTATTTCTCAGTCCCTTGCTAATGAGACACTGGTTAATACTCTGCTGTTCGCTTTTTCCTTTTTTTTTTTTACATATACATGAGGGACATAGGGGTTGTCATTGCTGATTTTCTTTTTTTGTTTCGCTCTGGAGTGCGGCTGGGATATGCGTGTTTGTCTTTTTGTGAATTCCCCTGCATTGATACTCGCTTTGTTCTGACCGACCTTCCTCTCGAGGCCACCGCTGAACCCAGATGGGGACCTATCTTTATCCTCTCCCTTACTCTCTCCTATCTCCTTTTGCCATTTTTACAGCATGTCGATATAGCGTCGTTGGCAACTCACCTGCCCACCTTCTCATCTCTCCATGACTGTACACTACCCGAGCCGGCGCATTCCTTTTATTTATTCCGTCTGGACTCGTATACGCGACCTGTCTTCTCTTTGTCTGTTTTATCACTCGCTCCCAAGCCTTTCGTTTTCCTTGCCTTTTTCATTGTCTCTCATCTGGCTGGCTTGATGCAAGCAGTTCTTGATTTCGTGATCTGGTCTCTGGCGCATACCAAAAGAAGCGGGGGTTCAATTTATTCGGTTGTCTTGATCTGCTGGGTTCGCGTTTTGCTGGGTATTAATGAAGAGTGCAGGATGCGCTCTCTGGACAGACCTTTATCCTTCAATGAATCGATAGACTTATATCCACCGAGGGTCAACATGAACTATTTCAATTGTCTTTTTTCCAAGTTGAGCTTGTATTCTTGTTCCCTAGTCTAGTAGTCTTCATACGGGGGTATTTCGTAGTCGTATAGATCCAACGATCTACATGTGTCTTATCACCACGTGACCACCATCATATCAACATTTGAACCAACAACTCGTTCCTGTACATATCAACATCCCCGAAAAAAGAACCAGCTGAACCATACCGGACCAGTTCAAAGAAACTAAGCCAAAATGCCACCTCTCCCGTCTCATCGCCGCCAAGATTCAAACACAACATACTCTCGCGCCTCTATGCTTCCAGGAAGCGCCTACAACAACACGGCAACCCACACTTTCAATCCACCCGCAACCCCCTCTTACCAGGCCTCAACGCCGTCCATGTCCGCTGCCAAAACACGCCAATATGCTCACCTCCACGCCCAACTCGCTCAACTCAATGCCAATCTCGCAGACACAGAGAATTTACTCCGCATGACAGCTGTACAGGCCGGCGACATGCGCTTCCTAGGTGGGTATGTTGGAGCGCTATTCATGGGCTCAGCCAAAATCCTAGGCGAAGACGGTGTAAAAGGCTGCGCGGATAAAAAGGAGCCTGAAAACGAGGAAAAAGAAATCAAAGAAGAGAGCGAGGAAGATTAATCCCGTTACCAGTTTCCCGTGAGTTGAAATAACTATCAGGCTTGTGATATTCACATTGACATTCGGTCTAGATATGCATCTACCACAAAATCTATTACTCGACCACGAATTGCCCACCCAGAATAATCGCCGGTTCATCAATGTTATGATGTTCATAACTACACCTGTTAGCCAGGTCCATGCACAAGACAAAACAACCATACCTGAGTGTCCCAATTCCACCCGCTTCAAGAATCAGCGACGTCTCCGTCAACGGCTTCCCTGTCCACCGCATCGCAAACGCGCGCAAAATATGACCATGCGCAACAATGAGTACATCACCCTTCGTCTCATCCGGATCTTCAAAACAAGCCCGCTGGTACTTATTCCGAATCTCCAAGATCAACGCATCAAGACGACGAACCACGTCTTCGGGCGATCTACACATGTCAGCAGTCAGCATCTGAATAATAAAAGAAAAAGAAAAAGAAATTTCAAAATTCACATACTCTCCACCAGGACACCCATCCGTCCAAATATTCCAAACCCCCTCCCCCCTCTCCTCCCTCAATTCCCGAATCTGCTTACTCGTCAACCCCTCATAATCCCCATAATCCCACTCCCGCACAGCATCCGTAACCTCAACCTCGGCTTCTGTCCTAATAGCCTCAGTTGCATCCCGCTGTTCGTTCCAGGGTAGTCGTTCCCGGCATCCGAGCTCGAGGAGCTCGAGGGTGCGCTGGGCTCGGGAGCGCGGGGATACGAAGCTGTGCGCAGTTAGTCCTCGGATTTGTATCTGGGTATGTGTAGTGCTGTGCTTCGTACATGTGGCTTAGCTTTTTGGGTACGACTAGTCTGTCGTTGCCGACGAGGGCTTTGCCGGTTGCGCGGATGCGCTTCTCACCGTTGGCGGTGAGGGGGAGGTCTGTTTGGCCTGTGTGGCGGCCGTTTAGGGACCATTCTGTTTCGCCGTGGCGGATTATGAAGCAGCGGGGTGGCATTTTTGGTATGTGTAGGTATGAAGAACTTGAGAAAGAAAGGTATGGAGGAAAGGTAAACAGGTTGAGGTTCAGGGCTTTTGCGTCATGGTGGGACTCTGATAAGCTTATCGTGCCTTTACGACGATCTAGTTAGGTACCTAGGTAGGTAGGTAGGTAGTTAGGGCATGGATACCCAGCTATACAGCTACTTCGTACTTTGTTTTTGGATACTCAGCGCTGTAATTCATTTCCAATTCCAATATTTCAAAATCAACACAAAACCTCGAAGCTATGAACCCGCTTCTTATGCGGCACAGTCCGGCATTTATTCATCCTAGTCGTGACCTCCTCGATCTTCGCCCAATGCGAACATTTCTCATCCTTGTATAACACCAACTTGCACTTTGAATTGATGTTCACGTCAATGAAGGCTTCGGCTCCCCCGGCTTCGACATTGCTGCGGCATCCGGATGTTCCCTGTCCTGCATAACTGACTGTCGTGCCTCGGCAGTGTTTGTTGTGGAAGAGGTCGAAGTTCCAGAGTGGGTGGTTTGCTTGGAGGTCGTGGTGATCTGGCTCTGGGTCGTTTGGATTGGTAGGTGCTGAGAGGGTGGAGGTGAGAAGGGCGAGGAATAAGATGATTGTAGAGATTGGCTTCATTTTGAGGACTGGTTTTGCTTGTAGATGGACTGGATGGAGTTGGAGTCTTGGGGTTTTTTTGAATTCATGTTTTGATGTGTTGTGAGTTGCTTTTTGCGTTGCATTTATATGGTTGCGTATGTATGACTGCTTCGCGGGAGTTGACGGCGAGGGTTGACGTAGACATGGCTTATTGTCTATTCCTTTTCTAGAACGATAGATTCTTTTGGAGACTTACTTAAACCTCGCTTTGGTTGCTTATTTGGGTGATTCTAAGGACGAATTGACCTTAATGGGTCTTATGTAGGTGAGTAGCTTGAGGCAAACCTCTGGAGGACAACAGTGGGGGCCAATATTTCGTCCAGCATGGATCGACAAAAAGGATTTAAATAGGCTATACTAAATACCATTTTCAATTACATCCTCAGCCTGGGGCCAGAAGCCATGTTACGAGGTCCTGAGCCCACCTAAACACCTTTATAGAAAGAGATTTACCGCCTTTTGGAAGCCCTGGATATACCATTCTGCCACCTACCAGTAAACGCACGAGCTACTTCTCTCTTCGAAGCAGCAATGTTCACTATAATCAGGAGATATTACTTCTTTAGATCCAACTCTGACCCACCGGCCTGATAACCAACTCCACTGAAGCTCTAATACATTGAAGAACTCCAAATCCACTATGGAGCGCCGATTCACCTCCAGAAAAGTGTGTCTGGACTGGACTGAGAAAGAAACCAAGAGCGAAATCCCAGCATCTTCAATCCAAAACACATATGAGCAACTCAAACTCACCTACGAAAAAGACCTACGTCAAAGCTGGGCCGAGCAGCTTGAATCCCCCAACCAAATCCTAGAACAGCTCTCCGTCGCCGCATGTCTAATCGAACTATGGAAAGTCATGTTCAAACCTGACCAGTCAGCTCCTAAAACCCCAAAGTTCGTGGATATCGCCTGTGGAAACGGAATCCTTGTCTACGTGCTCTGCATGGAAGGCTATGAAGGCTCAGGCTACGATGCATGCCATCGCAAATCCTGGGATACATTCCCAGCAGAGATTCGATCCTGTTTGCATGAGAAAGTCATCATTCCCAAACCTTTTCTGGATGTACTTGATGCGCAGGAGATTGAGATCGATCTCGGGATAGGGGTTGAGTCAGGTGTTTTTCCTGACACTTTTATCATATCAGACCATGCAGACGAATTGACTGTCTGGACACCCATTCTGGCTGCTTTGGCGTGTCCGGAGTCCCCGCTGCCTTTCTTGGTTATACCTTGCTGCTCTCGCTCGCTTGCTGGTTCTTCTTTGAGATATCCTGTCAACGGTGTGCAGGCAATTGGGCCCCTTGGTACCGATCTATATGGAGATGGGCCGCGTAAGGGCCCGCAGCCCTGTTCTGGTGATCTGAGGGCTCTCCGGGTGGCTAAGATGAAGGAGAAAACTGAGAGTGGGTTTCTGGACTCTATGGTTGGATCTCTTGTTGCGAAAACGGCTTCTGTTGCTGGGGAGGTGGGCTGTGGGGTGGAGAAGGCGTGGCTTCGCACGCCTGGTGCTGTCAATTTGGCTTTGGTTGGGGGGTGGGAGACTGCGGTCAGTTGCTCAGGGTCTGGTGACTTGGCAGGCGATCTTGTTGCTGCACGTCTGAAGATCATGGAGGTGGTTGAGCGTGAATGTTTGAGGGATGGAGGAATCCAGGCAGCTGCTCGGCTCTGGGTTGAGCGGGTTAGGACGCTACGCTGTGCGAATGGAACTCAGCACCGATCTCATTGATACCCTATAGAGCGTTTGGAACAGCTTCCATCTGTACCGTTATTCATCATTTGTCGAATTTGGAGGTAATCTAGCAGGATTAGAAACCGAGATGGCCTATAAATTGGTGCAAATGGGGCAGAAATGAACTGAAATGTATTAATATGAGACGTTCCGAATCTATTTGCACTAAATAACATGAATCGTGGAGTGGGGCATAGAGAAAGGAATGTGCTAATGTACAAGACTAATGTTACAAACTTCATCCCCAGTCATGAGTTGGGGATTTGAAGCCGAGCAATGTTCTCAAAGATCTCAGAGATCAAATGTCGTGAGATCCAAAAAGTGTTTTCAATCATGCAGAGTCGTTAATCGAGTCGAGCTTTGCATGTTCGCGGGTACCAGTCTCCTTTCCCTGTGGCTTGCTGTTCGCACGAGCACTGCCGGAAGCCGCAGACGACGCTTGCGTAGAAGCATTAGCAGATGCCTGCAGAGCAGCAGTGGAATTGGCCAGTGTCGCCTTGAAGTTCCTCGACGCTGCCTGGTGAGCAGCTTGAGTGGCATTTTCTCGAAGACGTCTGATACGCTCGGATCGGCTCTCGCCTGGCAGACTGCCCCAGACCGGCTCGATGGAATCAGCACGCCAGTTGTTGCGGTTCCCGTTGCGAGCACTGCGCTTGGGGGAAAGAGGAACGAGAGAGAAGCCTCCCACGCCTGACTCGCCCCACATGCGGACACGCTGCAGTTTGCGCAGTTTGAACAGTCCATACACGCAGACGATACCGGTGAGAGCGAAGCATGTGATTGAGACACCGCCGAAGCCAAAGTCTGATTCTTCGATGAAGTTCTTCAAGTTCATGCCGTAGAGGGCGGAGAACAGGGTTCCTGCACCAAGACCGAGTGTTCCAATGCTGAATTTCAGGTCCATGAGCATGAGTGAGTTGCGGTTTGCGTCGAGAATCGCCTTGACTCTGTATGTTGTTAGATATATTCGATATATCAGCGAGGGAAACTTACACTTCTTCTGTGTTGCGAATGTTGGTCACCAAATTGCCACTGGCCTGGACGATCTCATCGCAAACTTTATGATATGATTCCAAAAGCATCTCAACTTCTTGGTGATCATCCTCTTCCCGTTCCTTGCCGGTGGATCTTTCAGACAAATACATGGCAGCCAGATCGTCATCTGCTTCAAGCAGATCATCAATCGCATCTCGAACCAATCGGGCCTTTTGCTCAAATGTACCCAGTTTCTTGGAATAAATCAGGAGATGGCGAAGCTTGTCACGATCAATGTCCTCCTCCAATGCACGGAGGACTCGCACGACCGGATCTCTCACTCCATTGAACTCCTCTTCCAGACCACTCGTAACACTAATGAGAACGGCTTCCAGCGCACGAAACTCATAAGGAAGTGCCTGGCTAGGCTGAGAGGTTCCCTGGATTGATCTCTGACGCAGCTTTCCCTCGAGATCGTAGATGAAAAGCGATTGCATGTATGAATCCGTTGATCCGTAGGCGTCAAAAACAAGGACTCGGTCCGCTTTGATAAGTACTCGGAGATGTAGAAGGTTGATCAGGATCGCACTCGGTCGTATCAGGATATGAGGAAGGGTCGATGAGTCGATCTTTCGTAGGTCTCGAGGAAGAAGCCCATACTGAACCAATACACATTAGCAGACAGTTCGGCATGGAGTGGTATATTTGCACGTACCTTGGCAATGAGTTCCTGTTTCCTGAACTCCCCGTTCACCAGTGTGACATCACCGTTGATATCGAACTCCGTGCATCGAATTCGTAGCTCATTTGACGCTTTTGCTGAGAGACTGCGGCCAATATTGAACATGCCCTCTGTCCCTTCATCCATAAATCCAGGGACAGGGGCGTTCGGGTCCTGATAGTCGGGAGTCTTGCCCTTTTTCAAATCAAACAGCCTTCGAAGTAATGGTCGACTTTTGGTAGATGCATGACGCGTGAGTGTCAACTGTGTCGGCACTGACGGTGAGAGAACAGCCCGGGTACTCAGGTTCCCCTGCGAGTTGACGCATATTCCATTTCCACCGGTCGTTGGGCCACACGGGTCATTGCGGCGCGTCCAGCTCGATAAACCCGAGCCTGTCGAGAAGGCTTTACCGCGGCTGGCCAGACGCTTCGGATAAGCGCATACTGATGGGGTGGTCGAGGCACCGGTCTGTGATCTTAGAAAGCGAAGCAATGAGGCAGAGGGAGCAGATAGCTTCGGAGACCGCATAGCTGGATCGTCGGCCAAGCTGAGCCCGGCTGTTCGCAAGTCAACTTTTTCCCGCATGTCGGAACATGGTTGATCCGACTAAGTATATAGAATGTACGATGACTCTCCCATTGCTTTTTTAAAGTGAAGAGATAATTCGACGTTGAAGCAAAGGCTTTCTCTGCTCTTCTTACTGCAGCCCTCAACGTCTCAAAATAACACTTTCCAAAAGCTCGTTTCTACAACAACAGTGTCTATAGATCACCATGAAGACTACGAGCCCTCACCCCCAACACGATATCCTTTCCAAGGTTCTGGCACATTTACCATTAGGCAATGAGCAGAAAAACGCACATTTTCATCTAATCCTGAATCCATTCCAGCGACTACCTAGGTAGCCTGAACAAGACATAGATCTGAAAAGACATCATCAGCTAGTTGATATTGCTGCTTCCAACATTTTTCCACAATCTGAGAGCAATCATAATCATCCTTTGGAAAGAGACCCTTTTCAAAGCGTGCCAGAATCTCATCATCATCACCTAAGCTATCAAGCTCGGGAAAAACCTCATGCCCAGTCATGATAAAGTAAATGGCAGAACAAAGCGCAAAAAGATCCGTTGTCACACACGCATAATCCCCATGGACTCAAGGCTGATATGACTTTGAGCACTCCCGAGAAAGTCCATCCAGCAATGTGTCACCATCAGCAGACTTCAGCATTCCCTGGAAGTCTGCAAGTAATAAATTGAGTTCAGTATCAAGCAGGAGATTCCGAAGACTTATGTCGCAGTGAATGACGCGCTTTTTAGGGCAATGGCTTATTGCTTCGGTGGCTTGTTTACACCACATGAATTTCTGGTCGAGGGCTATGAACGGCTGTGATGCGATATAGTCGTTTAGAGAGCCGTTTGATGCGCGCTGAAGGAGGAGACCATGCTCTGTGAGGCCTTTTGAGGCAATGATATGGGGGTGGCTTCCCAGGACCGCGAGAAGCTGGGCTTCTATTTGAACGCTTTGATAGTTTCCAGGAATGCATGGGTGATTCAAGACTGTAAACTCGTCAATGGCGCCGATGAGACACTCGCTACCACGACCGATAATCTCTTGGGCCCCTGGGGGGTAATATCGGGGGACGTGGGTGATTGTAATGTAGGATTCAGCATTGATATCTTCAGTCCGGTCATTTTGTACTATGGATGTCATTTTGCGAAGAGGAGATGTAAAGGTGTTTGTGTGCCAACATATTGAAAGGGGGCAACCATTTAAGCCATCTAAATCATCGCAATATTCTGCTGAAGAAAGCGGCAAGAGCTGAGCACTCAAAACGGACAGACACCAAGAGGCAGGGGGCTGCATGTGTTCTTCATGGCTGCCGACCCCGTACACCTTCAGCAGCAAACTCCGGCCCTGGGGGATTGTAGACATACTACTGGGTATATGGAAACCAAGCTCTTATGTCTGGTCAACGAAGGAGTTGATCAATATTTGGAAACAGTATGGAGTCAGGCTGTCAGCCACTGCGTCTACCATTGAAAGCTATATACAAAGTGCACTGAGATACCTCATTTCTCAACAAGCGCTTGAATCCAAACTTTTAGGCAAAACGCTGGACCAGAAAACATAACGATCGATCCTCGCAAGGCGCAAAAGGAATTGGTATCTTGAAAATACTGAAACATTTCCACCAAACACACACTTCACCAGTCGTCGTCGTTGTCTTTCTCGTCATCTATCAAAACTGTTAGTACGACTTGTCTACAATTGAAAAAAAAAGGGAGTTGGAATACACATACCACTTCCACTGACTCTCTGCTTCCGCTTGTTGAGAGCATCTTGTAAAGCACCAGCCAAGCCGCCTTGCGGAGCACCCCCTGAGCTAGGGGTTGCAGTTGACTCGTTGGCAGCACCAGGCACGGCTGCGGCGCTACGGTCTTTCTTTTCTGAGTCCTTGACCTTGCGGAGTCCACCGCCACCGTGGCCACCAGATGCTCGGATAGATGCCAAAAGGTTGTCATGTCCACCGCTGGGCTTTGGAAGGGGAGGCGCAGCACCACCAGGGGGAGGAGGTGGAGGAGGAGCACCGCCGCCAGGAGGAGGGGGTGGAGGAGGAGGAGCACCACCACCAGGTGGTGGAGGGGGTGGGGGTGGTCCTCCAGGTGCTCTCGATCCCGGTGCTGGGGGCGGTGGTGGCATTGATGGGCCTCGGCCTGGAGGGGGCGGCGGAGGCGGGAGACCACCGGGTGCAGAGCCAGGCGGGGGAGGTGGTGGAGGAAGACTGGGAGAAGCTGTTGGCGGTACTGGGGGAGGCGCAACTGGGCCTCGAGGAGGTGGTGGAGGGACAGCGGGAGGGGAGGAGGGTGCGGCAGGCACAGGCCGGGCCGCTGGGGGTGGGGGTGGAGGAAGAGGTGGAGAGGTTGGACCTCTAGCAGGGGGAGGAGGTGGTCCGCTAGGGGCGTTCATTGGAGGAAGCTTAGGAGGCAGCTGAGGTGGTGCTGCTGGGCTTGCCGTGCGAGGAGGCGGCGGTGGAGGACCGCCAGGCACAGGGCTACGGCTTGGGGGTGCCGGCGGCGCAGACACCTTGCGATCACCAGAGAAAGGTGGCGGTACTCCGAAGCGGGACGGACTCGGCTGGCTATCTTCCATGGGAGTCTTTGGAGGCCGAGGCGGCGGCGGAGGTCCAGGTCCAGGATTGACATTAGAGATTGCACGTGGACGTCGGGGAGGCACAGGGCCAGCTGGTTCCGCAAACTTGCCGGCATCAGCAAGTGGAGGCGGCGCGTTGAATCTCCGTACAGGTGGAGAGGGCTCGCGGGGCGGGGGAGTCGATACTCGTTCTTCTGGTGCCTCAGTACGCGTTTTCCGTGACGGGGGCGGGGGTGGAGGTCCCCGGCGGCTTGTCGAGCTTGATCCGGTGTCTTGCGGGCTAATTGAGTTGACCTTTGGAGCAGGCGGTGGTGGTGGAGGAGCGGTCTTGGGCTTATTGACGCCCTCCGCAGGGGGAGCCTCTGCTGCTGCTGCCTGCTTCTGATCAATCCAGGCTTTGATGAATTCGGAGTTCTCGGCGATCTGATCTTCGGTGATTCCCATGCCCTTGAGCTCATCCAACAGTCCTTTCCACGATGGATCGCTAGTGTCGAACGGTAAATCTGCCTTGGCTGGCAGCGCTGGTGGTGCAATTGGGGATAACGTCGGCGGGGGCGCAACCTGTATTGAAGGCGCAGGTGCTGTTGGTGGCGGCGCACTTGGGGTTGGGCTCGAACGGTGCAACAAGCTACCGAACAATGACCGACCTACTTTCCCATTCGTCACGGGAGCTGGTCCTTGGCCTCGGGTCGATGCGAAAGGCGTCTTGGCAGTCTCTTTGCTCGCCTGCTTCTCGCGCTCATACATCTTCTTAATGAAGGTCTTGGCCTCCTTCTCGTCGACAAAGGAGAGACCAGCGGCGCAGTCTTCGAGTTCAAAGGTATGGAAAAAGGTGCGATCCTGGTTATAGGCAAAGTTGTCGTAGATTTCCTGGTCCCAAATCACGCCTCTGCCAGCCGGCTGCCCTCGAAATCGAACTGTCAGCACTTCTTTATTATCCGGTTTGGTTCCAGCATGGGATACGTACCGAGACATCCACCATTTTGAGCCAGAATGTCCTTCCTACAAGATCATTGCAGAGGACTGCAGCCCCTTGAATTCCAGTATAGGTCCATTTTTGTCCGTCGGGGTAGGCCACATAGAGTCGCGCGACACCCACTGCAAGAATCTTGTTGGCGGGCTTAGGAACGTGACGCTTGACCGTCTCCTTGTCGGCGTCGCTTAGGATTGAGGGCATCGTGAGTCTTGAGCTGAGCCCTCAATAAACGGAGAGAAAGGTAATAGTTCGAAGGGTCAGGTGTCTAGAGCACACATTGCAGCCGGGCGGGTCTCGATGGGGATAGCAGCCTCAGCACACCGACTGATAGGATAGCAGGGGATAGACAAAAAGAAACTTCACGGGTGAAGCTGTGTAGGGTTCGGAATTGGAGAGGAGCCGACCGGCGGTTGCCTTGAGGGTGTTGGAGAAGACGAACTGAGTTGGGGGTTAGAAGGATAGGCGGGGCGGGCCCGGTACACCGGAGTGACTTGGGTCTGTCGCTGCACCGCCATAGTGGCACGTGGTATTGGGCATGTACTATTTACTATGTATCTGGCAAATTATGGCTATTATGAATTATCTTAAATCTGAATTGGTAGTTGTGAGCTTGCTTATACCATGAGAATCAGCTTGAAGTTTCAACTTCGACAGTGGAATTGGCTTATGCAGAGACAGCCCTAAAGGGATTGAGGCTGAGCTACTTAAGTAGGCATCGCGGTCTATGGAGCATGAGATACTAACCTTGGAGGTATGAAGCATAGTCATCTATCAGAACTAGACTTAGCTCGAATACGAAGTATTAAATAACTACATTTGTACTCAAACTAACAGTATTAAACTTAATCAGCCAAATATTTTAGTAACTTGATTGTTGACAGATTGACGCCTCGTTCGCCACTGTTATTGAAGACGTCATCCCGCCGGGGTCTATATACTTAACGGCCTTGGTCTTTGCCTCAAATCTTCTTACCCTTAGCAACATACTGCACTGAAAAACAACACACTTTGCACTTCATCATGCCCGTCATCCCCGAGTCGTCCGATTTCCCATCTGCACCTCAGAAGGGCAATGAGTCTGGAAAGACACAACCTGGTGACCAGAATCCTGCTCTGGCAGCCTTTAATTCAAAGGGGCCTCAGATTCCAAACCCGAATGGTAGGTGTATGGACCAAGGTCCAAAGGCAAGACATTACTGACCTCTATAGATTTGCCTCCCAAGGCTTCGAGGGAAGAGATCGAGGCTCGAATGAAGGAACTCAACAAGCCCTCCAACTGAGAATGTAGGACTGGCGATGACATTGTCTTTCCATCATACCTCTCGCAAATTTATTTAATAACGATATCAATCATGTCTGATACGAATTCCAGTTTTGAAATTGCCATATAAACGAAAGATGTGCAGCACACACTCAGGTAGATGGTAGATTCAAAGGCAGTATACGCTCGACTATACTTAAGTAGGTGATAAAACGAGTAACCACGAGTAAGATGACAAGTAAACAAGTACTCCATAGCTGAGAGTAAAGTATTAATTCCTACATCCTTCATACTTTCATACTTGCATACTCGTACTCGTACTTCACTTTACTTCGACCCATTACGTCACGTATCATAGCAGACACGTGATTTCGCGACCACTTTCGCCAACTCGAAGTCCTTCAACGCGTCAAGAAGTGGTCCAAATGCCTCCAGAACGGACCAATGCTCCAGTGAAGCTTTCTCTGCCCTTGGTGAGTATATCGCGAGAATATAAGTCCCAAAGCAAGGTCTGGCTAACACCTTCAAGCAATACCAGCAGGAGCTCTTCACTGAACTACGTGCAGAGGATGAGCTAGTCGTCCTGGCACGCGGCCTTGGACTGCTACACCTGATTACGAACCTCCTTCATTTCTACGATGCCGCAGGAAACAACCTGGTCCTGGTGGTGGGGGCAGATGACCGTGAGAATGAGTGGATCGGAGAAGGTATATACATTCAATCGGGAGTGGCTTGATAGCATGGATATTGATTAGTGAATCCTAGCATTGGCGGAACACTATGCGACCAGCAAATCTCCTCTCGCGAGGGGGCTGAAGGTCATCAATACCGAGAAAGCTTCAGTGCCGATGAGGTAGCTGCATTCGATCTACAGATCTACTATGGCGGTGCTAACGATTATCAGAGAGAAAATCTATGCCGAGGGTGGTGTTCTGAGTGTAACATCCAGAATTCTGGTTGTGGACCTGTTATCCAGTATGTCTACCCAGGATGGTCGCTAAGAATAGCTTGCTGACCAGACCAGAGCTTCTTGACCCTGAGAAAATCACTGGCATGGTTATATTACATGCCGATAAAGCTGTGGCAACATCACTGGAAGCTTTCATTGTCCGGGTTTATCGTCAAACCAACAAGCGTGGTTTCCTGAAAGCGTTCTCTGATTCGCCTGAGCCGTTTACTACCGGCTTCGCTCCACTGGCCAACATGCTGAAGAACCTATTCTTGCGCAAAGCATCACTGTGGCCCCGCTTTCATGTCTCCGTGGCTGAATCCCTAGAAGGAAACCGCAAGGCGGAAGTTATTGAACTCGAGGTTCCAATGAGTGACAAAATGAGGGAGGTTCAGAACGCGGTTCTGGAATGTGTCGAAATCAGCATTACAGAGTTGCGCAAGAGTAATACCGGGCTTGACATGGAAGAATGGACGTTGGACAGTGCTCTCCACAAGAATTTCGACATGATCATCCGGCGTCAACTGGATCCCATTTGGCATCGTGTCAGCTTCCGAACGAAACAAATCGTCAATGATTTGGGAGACCTACGTTCAATTCTTCAGTAAGTCATGCCACTGACTTCCGATCACATTTACTGACATTCTACAGTGCTCTGCTCACCTACGATGCAGTATCCTTTGTGAAATATCTCGATACTGTTGTGTCTGCAAATACTCCACCTCCAGGCTCGAACAGACATAACTACTCGCCGTGGCTTTTCCTCGATGCTGCTCACGTTCTCTTTCAAACGGCCAAGTCGCGCGTGTACGAAGGCAAATTAAACAACGAATTGAGCCGCATCTCATCTTCAACTACCTTTTCTGCTGAGCTGAAGCCATGTCTCGAGGAGTTGCCGAAGTGGAATGTCTTATCAGACGTCCTTGCAGAGATCGAAAATGACGCTTACCTTCATCCCGCGAACGTGGATCAATCTAATAGCACTATCTTGATTATGTGCAACGACCAAAGAATTTGCCGTCAGCTCCGAGAGTATATCGGCACAATGCATGCCAAGGTCGCCCAAGGATCTGACTCTAAGGACGATGAGCAACCCGATGAGCAAAAGTCTTCCGCGGAGCTGATGCTGCGTCGTCGACTACGAGATTACCTGAATTGGAAAAGGTCACTTTCGAATGTCAACAAAAATTTGTCTGGAGAAGAAGACAAGACTGGAAAGCCCTCTGACTCACCTGCGGCCCAGAGCGCGCCTCAAGGGAGGCCTCCAGCCAACAAGCGCCGTCGGGTTCGTGGCGGTGGTGCAGTCACATCCGCCGCAGGCCGCGTACCAAATACCAGTGTTCAGACTGAGGTCGAATTGCCCGGTCAAGTTGTCAGCTTGCTCACCGAAATCCAGCCAACCGAGGTCGAGGAAACTCAGAAAGAAGAGGTGATCCTCGATGATTTGGAAGACATGGAGGATTTCTATGAACTTTATGACATGAATGATCTAGTCATGATTCACCCTTACGACGGCGATATGGATGAGCATATACTTGAGGAGGCACGTCCTCGGTATATCATCATGTACGAGCCCGATGCCGCATTTATTCGAAGAGTGGAAGTATACCGTAGCTCTCACTCGGGTCGAAATGTGAAGGTATACTTCATGTACTATGGTGGCTCGGTCGAGGAGCAACGGTACCTGAGTGCTGTGCGGCGAGAGAAGGACTCCTTCACGAAGTTGATTAAAGAAAAAGGCGTAAGTCGCAATCCTGATCAATGAGAGCTAAAACTAACCCACTTTCAGAATATGGCAGTTACCTTGACACACGACAAAAAGAACGAAGACCCGCAAGAGCAATTCCTCCGAACGGTGAATACTCGAATTGCGGGAGGTGGGCGGCTGGCAGCCACCGCATCTCCTCCCCGCGTCGTTGTCGACGTGCGCGAGTTCCGAAGTGCGCTCCCGTCTCTGTTGCATGGGAACAACATGGTTGTGGTTCCCTGCCATCTTACCGTAGGCGATTATATCCTCACACCAGATATTTGCGTGGAGAGAAAGTCCATTCGAGATCTCATCACGTCTCTGAAGAACGGTCGTCTCTACAATCAAGCCGAGACAATGCTTCAGTACTACAAGTATCCCCTTCTTCTGATCGAGTTCGACCAGAACAAGTCTTTCACCTTCGATGCGTTTGCATCTGTTCCGACTGGCCCGGTCCTCAAGACAGACCAAGGCTTTTCATCCTCTGGCACCGCCACATCCAGCAGCAGTAGCTTCCTTGCCAACCCTTCTAATCCAAAATCTGCCCAGCATCAGCTCGTCCTCCTCACTCTTGCGTTCCCTCGACTGAAGATTGTCTGGTCCTCCTCGCCTTACCAAACCGCCGAGATTTTCGCCGAGCTGAAGAAGAACGCACCAGAGCCCGATCCACTTCGTGCAGTCCAGCTGGGCTTGGATGTTGATATCTCGAACTCGGTCAGCTCAGGCGACGTCATGGCAGCAGCTGGAATCGAGCCTCGTAGCACCTTCAACCTCCTACCCCAGGACATGCTGCGGGCGGTCCCTGGTGTCACTCCGCAGGCCTTGGAGCGACTCATCATTGAAACGGACAACATCAGCGATGCCGCCAATATGGACGTTGAGCAGCTCGATCCGCTGGTCGGCAAAGAAGCTGCACGGAAGATAGTTGCCTTTTTCCGGAAGAGTGTTTTTGATTGATTCCGAGTGTGATAACTATGTTCTATCCATAATATGAGTTCTGTTCATAATATAAGACGTGAGCTGGATGCAGTGGAAATAGGAATAATTGCTTGGGTATAGAATCCCTCGGTAAAGCCGAGGGCCTTCGGGAGAGAACCCTTGAGATGATATCAGACGCCAATTTTAATTTACATGTTACACCCGTGTGGCAAGGGACTCGAAAACCAGCAATACGCGAGGCCTCTGAGAGTCTAGAGTTTCAATTGCAAGGCTCCACGTACTACAATGTACGTCGATCTTTTTTCGTCTTGGCGATGCAGATCAGTTATAAACGGAACAATGCAAGGGCCCCCTGAGGTGTGGAGATACATATCCCCTTGACACAATTCTTGACATCTTCAATTCATCATGCATCTCAAAATATTGACGCCAGTCGCATTGGCGGCGGCCGTTGCTGCCAACGCGAGCGACAGTGAACCGTGTGCTCAAGTGAGCAAGCTGGTGGCCGATGCCAACCAGGAAAAAAGTGCGTAACCGATCTGGGTCTCCTATCAAAATAACTAATAGTCGCAGCAACTGCTAATGTGCCTCATGATTTGGCACACCGGTGTCTGCTATCGATGCCTTTTGAATCAGATCGTGCGGTCAAGTTTCTGGCACAGGTTCGCAAGATCCTCGAGTTTCAGTCGACCATCGATATTCTCAAGGGTATATGCTCTCTTTATGCAGAGGGGACTACTTGAGCATTTGTGGCTAACCTATATTCTTAGATCCGCCATCCGGGTATACAATGCCCCCTACTGATATTCTGGGAGGAATAGACACGATGTTGGACAAGGCTAAGAGCAATGTCTATTCGAGCCAATTCGAGATGGACTTGGAAGTCAATCATCTCATCAAATCCGCTCATGATGGTCATCTGTCTTTCCAGCTTTGCTCTCAGTCGATTTTCACCTACAATATCGACATGCCTTTGGTTTCAGTGTCGACAGACGGGCTCGCCTTGCCTCATGTATACGCTTTGGGTATGTCGGCTCTGACCCTTGATTTGATGACAGCCGACTGACCAGCTTAGATGATGCAAAGTTACAGAAGAATAATCCAGAGGCAGTCTCTCCACTGAAGTCCATCAATGGCACTGACGTAGCGACCTATCTGGAATCATATGCCAGTGGTCAAAACCTCCAGGATCGTGATGCACAGTACATACCTCTCTGGAGCACAAAAGCAAGAGAACATGCTAACTGTTTCAGATATAATCGAGTGTTCCCGGCTCCTGCTCGCAGTGTCGCCAACACCCCAACCAGTGTGAACGGAATCTGGGCTTCCATCGGAGATTGGACTGATGGCGCTGAATTATCTCTGGAATTTGCAAATGGCACAAAAACCACCACACAGAGAACCGCAACGCCAAGCGAGAGGTTCTTCTCCTACAAGAATGGAACACACCTTTACAGTATAGAGTGCCTTCCAAGGGACCTATCCACCCCCCTGAGCACCTCATCCGGCGCCGAGCAAGCATCCTCAGAAATCGCAGGACTTCCAACCACTAAATGGCGCAACTCAGCCAACTCAATTGCTGGATATTATTCCAGGCTCCCCGACCTCCAAGACACAGCAGTCATATTCCTACCGACATTCTCATCCAGTGCATCGGAAGTAGCCACTGTCGCAGTCGACTTTCTTCAAAATGCCACTGCAACAGACAAGAAGAACGTTCTAATCGATCTGTCCGCAAACCCCGGTGGCTACATGTCAATAGGGATAGACATGTCACGGATCTTCTTCCCCAATGCTGCCCCGTACACAGCAACCCGCTACCGGGCACACGATGCAGCCAAGTATCTGACCAAGGCTTATTCGCAAGATAACCAAACTGATTCAAGTAACGTCTTTGCCTACAAGCAGATGGTTCGACCAGATCAAAAGACAGACTTCGGCTCATGGGAGGATCTCTACGGCCCACATCAGATTCTGGATAGTTCAGCTTCCAGTCTCCTGGCTAACTTCAACTACACCTCCACCTCGTCGAAGGTATTTCCCATAAACGGCTACGGGCCCGTTCCACTGAAACCAAGCAAGTCTCTTTTCTCAGCAGAAAATATCGCTATAGTAAGTGACTCCCATATTACCAGAAATGTGCACATGCAGTTCTGATCTAACTTGCATACCAGATTACCGACGGGGACTGCGTCTCAACATGTGCATTCTTCGTCAAACTAATGAAACGGCAAGGCGTACGCACAATTACATTTGGCGGCCGTCCCCAGAAATCCCCCATGCAAGGCGTAGGCGGCGTAAAGGGCGGCCAATCACTCGGAATCAACTATATCAACGGCTACATCGAGCAGGCAAACGGATTGATTGCGAAATCAGCGAATGGCAAATCGCCACTGCTGACGTCTGCCGAGTGGAAGGCATTCAATGAATCCAGTCCCAGTACAACTGCTTCACTTCAGTGGAGTGGGAATCTGAACTTGCGGAATGAGTATGATCCAGAGGATGATCGGACGCCGCTGCAGTTTGTTTATGAGGCTGCTGAGTGTCGGCTGTTTTATACTTTGGATAATTATTTGGAGAGGGAGACGGTTTGGCAGGCTGCGGCTAAGGCGATGTTTGGGGGTGGGCAGTGTGTGGAGGGTTCTATGAAGGGGAAGGGGAGTTTGGATGCTTGATTGATGGGTTGTAGATTGGTGGGACGTAAGATATAGTACATTAGGGACGTAAAATATAGTACATTAGGCATAACATAGACATACAAAGACATCTATCATACTACACATAAGTATGAGACGGTGAATGGGAGGCCAGAAATGGCCGCCTCGGAGGCCGTTTTAAGCCCTCCACTCACCGTCTCTGGGCTTGGCATCACGTGCCTCAATGCCCACGCCCGACTCTCTCTACTGCCACCCATGCTTTGCGTTGGCTGTGCCTGGTACCTGGCCCGAACAAGGCCCCTTCTGCTATAGCAACCGCCGCCGCCGCCCCACCCTCAGCCATCCTCCTGAAGGAGAGGAACCGAAGATGGCTCCCCTCCTTGGTTCCCTCCTTCCTTCAGATTTTATAAATATCAACGGCCATGACCCCGACACAATACTCTTTCTTGCTACCAAGCAACCCTTCCACCCTCAGGTCGGTCTCTTCAACGGCACGGCCACTCAGGTGTGAAAAGAGAA